CAGAAGGTGTCAGGTTGTCTGGTTAGTCATCTGTTACCACCCATGGTAATGTGGTGCAGTGAAAAGATCTCTGGTGTTGAGTCACAGGGCAAACTCATTATTCTGTTCTGTAGAAAGCATGTGACTTCTGCAAGCCTCAGTCACTTCATCTGCAAAATGGGATTAATGTTGTTCAGTTGCTAAGTTGTGTCTGACTGTTTATGGCCCTGTGGCCTGTAGTATGACAGGCTTCCCTGTCCTCCAATGAGGAATACAGGGAAAGTTGTTGAATAAGAAATACACATAAAAGAATTTTTTTTAATTGTTAAGGAGTGATGTATTAAAATACCTGTTTTAATAAATAATTCCTTTTACTGTAGTGACAGTAAAAGGAATTGTAGAGCTAACAAGTAGCTGAGCTGGGGCTCAAACTTGATGTTCAGACTAAACACTGGGTTTTTCCTATTGCATCAGGCCTGGGCCAAGATGAGCGTTGCCCTGGGGCCATTTTCTTGGCAGACGCTAGGTGATAATTTTGTCTGCTTGACAATATTAATTGATTTGGAAGAAGTCAGTCTTATTTGTCTTCATTATGTTAATGAATTTTATCATTTACACAGTCATTTCTGCTTGATTTTGTATTTTATGCATTCAGCCATTGCAGGTACTTGAGGCTTATATTTTTCAGTGTCACTACAGGCTCTGAGAGATCACCCCTTTCTCTCCAGCCCTGGAAACCTTCAGATAGGCAAACTAAAACTGCAAAATTTTAGTTTGCTTTCTAATCTCCTTTGTAATTTGTGTTATTTTCTCATCTTCTGGATTCTTTTAGTCACTAATATGTCTATCCTTTATAACTCTAGAATTACAAAAAAAATTTTTAACTATTGCTGTGTTTTTTACCCTTGGATTATACCTTCTGGAAATAGGAGTCAAGTTTAATAATAATATGTATATGTATGTGTGTGTATGTGTGTGTTTGTGTATAAAGTCAGGTCTAAGAAAGTAGGACCTAGTGGGAATTTTTGTAACTTCATTATCTTATCAATCATTCATTCTAGACAGGAATGTCACCCTTTAATGCTTGCCTACACACACACATCCTCCCTCCCTCTCTCCCCTACCTGTCTAACTTTAACCTGTCTCATTGGGATATAAGTAGTGTGACTTGACTTAGCTTATGAATTTCTTTAGGAATCTTTTCCTAATACGTACTCAGAAATCCCTAAAACTATACCCATATCTCCATGGTGTTACCACAGCATCAGTGCATTTGACCTCCCCTGGTGCAGTAGGCTCCTCTCATTCCAGGAGACCCATCTCATTCCAGCCCCAGCCAGCCCTTAGCATGAGGAGGCATTTAGTGCTTGTTGGGTAAACAAATGCACTTACGATTTCTGTTTAAAATTTTTATCCTTTATAAAGTGCAAATAAATGTGAAGTTGCAGAGCAACATTTCAGTTACATTAACTTGAACAATTAGAAGGGAACAAAAGTTAGTGTGGTAAGAACCAGAAGAAATTTTTTGAGACTAGCAAGGGGGAGATCGGAGAAGGCAATGGCACCCCACTCCAGTGCTCTTGCCTGGGAAATCCCATGGACGGAGGAGCCTGGTGGGCTACAGTCCTTGGGGTCGCTAAGAGTCAGACACGACTGAGCGACTTCGCTTTCACTTTTCACTTTCATGCACTGGAGAAGGAAATGGCAACCCACTCCAGTGTTCTTGCCTGGAGAATCCCAGGGACGGGAGCCTGGTGGGCTGGCGTCTATGGGGTCCCACAGAGTTGGGCACGACTGAAGCGACTTAGCAGCAGCAGCAGCAAGAAAGAGATAGAAGAAATGGGTGACTACTTATTCTATGAGATGTCTCCCCTCAAAATAAGGCTGAGATATTTTTAAATTTGCTAGAATCAGTTGAAGTGAATTGAAAACACCATTCATTTTTAAGCGAAGAATAACTTTCAGACTAAGAATAGCAATTATAGTCTCTGAATCCAATTATTAGTGTATCATTGTAAATAGTCCCCCCTCACCCTGAACACTCTTTCCATTTCTTTGATACTTTAGCAAATGTTTCCATTTGTATATTGAATGCACACAGAAACATTACATTATTTCCTCTTTGAATTGATGTTTCCTGTGAAGTCTGTCTTGACTTTGTTTTACATTTGTTTAGCGGATTCCCAGCCAGCAATATAAGAACTAGGGGGTTTGTTAGAAATTATTTCTAGGCCCTATCCTTGGAGACTAGGATTCAGCAGGTCTGAAGACAGACCAGACATGAGCACTTCTTTAAGTACTTTGAGGACTGTGGTAGGCTGCTGGACTTAGGGACCACTGGGGCATTTTTCTAATTTTAAGGCACATTCACGTCTAGAGTATTTTTTGGTCCACTTTGAAAGTCCAGTGAAGGCAATTAAGAAAGGTTGCTTATAATCATAAGCAGAGCAAATTGCTCTCATTGCTGTGAGATGCAAAGCAGATAATTTCAGGTATGCCATATAATCTGTCTGATAACTTCATATTCCTTTAATGTGGGTTTTTAGTCCAGGGAAAGAAAGTTTTTCTCTCAAAGGGACAACATAATTACCGTTATATATATATTGTAAGCTTCAAGTAATTATGTAACATTCCATTCTTATACCATATTCTGAGCAAAGTACTGGCCTCTGATCAATAAAACTTCTTTTTATGGGTCTGTAAATTGAAACCAAGAAATGAAAATTCCGATCAGTGTTCAGCCAGACTAATTATTTTAAATCTTCTGAAAAATATCACAGTTACTGAGAATGTAGATGTTCTATTATTGTACTCGGCCTACTTATTTTAATATATGAAACGAGTCACTTTCATTATTCTTCCTTTTTTTTCCCCCTTTCAACAAAAGACGCATAATATTTTATGTCTGATCACAGTATTAGCCAGAGAAAGAGTGGGGGCATCACTGTATGAAAGTGTATAGTAATTCTAATAGGATTTTTTTTTCTTTCCTCTTTCACATACACACAGCTTTCTCTAAGGAATTCTGAATATGAAAGTTGTTTACTTGTGACATAGAAATAATCTAAAGAAATAATAATCTAAAGAAATTAATCCTGTTGATTATCATTGTGATGTGTAATCTCACTTTTTCTGGAAATGCTGTTTTTAAAAATATGAAATATATGGTTAATTGCTTCTTCCAAAACTTTAAACATTAAATCACATCAAAAGAAACAAGAGTCACCCAAATACCAGCTGTCCAACAAGTCAGAACTATTTTTTGCCTTGTTCCATTGTGGTTCTTGTTCATATATTATTTTTGCATTATTTTTGCATAGTTGTAAACTTGTCATAGGTACAGTGTCTTCTGCTTATGTTGCCACTTAACATTAACTGCATTGCCTTTGTGTTGCCACATAGTTTTCTATTTATTTTATATGTCTGTGTAATATTATATGAGCTTCCCAGGTGCTGGTGGTAAAGAACCACCTGCTGATGCAGGAGACATAAGAGATGTGGGTAGGCTGGTTGTACCATTGTACTCTTGGACTTTCCAGTATTCTTAAATGTTCATGTTATTTACACCATTATAAAATTGTTGTTTTTATTGGAGTTTCATTGTTGATAAAACCTATGCTTCAGATGAGTGAGAGTGCATGTTTTGACCTTGGATCTAGGGTATAAATCCTCTGATCACATGGGCCATTTGAACAGATAACTTCCTCATGGCACTGAAATATTTATTATACCTACTTGTGCCTGTGAGTAAGCATGGCTTCTGTAATCGGCGTGACACATCATCCCAGGCTCACTGGCTTTCTACTTGCCGCCATATCTTATGAAATATCAGTTTGGTTTCCGTATTCATGTGACCTGGAAGTCAGGAACTGAATATTAGGATGCTGAATGAGCTTGTTGATGGAGTTAGACCTTTAGAGGGCCTCACAGAGAACCGTTCTCTCATTCTTTCCCATAATCTCTCTAATTAAACATATATTAGTCCAAAGAAATTCAAACCCAAAAAGTGTCTTTTGAACTCACAGCACCCTCAATTTTTCATACTGAATTTCACCATTATTTTACACAATACAGGGTTTTTCCTCTAATTAATTCTATCATGGTAACACAAAGGCCACCTGTAGAGAGATGAGAAATCTGACTGACTTAAGCTTGTTTTGAATTGAGGTCGTCATCAATTCAAGGGGATTTTGAAGGAAGAAACGGGGTTTTGAAGATCTGACTCTATGGTGCTAACAAAAGGCTTTCCCCATGCAGTAAGGCCACCAAGAGGAAGCAGTCTTTGTTATGCAGGATGTGATTAATATTACCTCATCATTTAATTTTAGAACTTGAAAATAAAGTTGCTTGCATCAGTTCTCAGTTCGTGGTGCATGGTTTGAAACCTGAGCATATCTACTTTTTTTTTTAATTAAGAAGAAATACATGATGACTAAAAGTTTAGAAAACAGTGAACTGAAAGAAGTCTCCCAGGGTATCTTTTCCTTTGCCAAACCTCTGCTAATCTTTTGTGGTTCTAGTTCTAGCCTTTTTTTTTTTTTAATGTGATTTTTTTCTTTACAGTTTTTTACATTTAATTTGAATCTGATTTACTTTACATAACTACTTTGTGTGCTTCATCCACCCCTCCCCCCATGTTTACAGTCTTGCTGTCAGTTGTAATCTGTTTAGTCTGTCCTTCTGATGTTCTGTAATGTTCCTAATCATGTCTCCTATTATTGGGCATTTAGAATGCTGGACGGTCTCTCCCATCACAGTGGTGCTTATCAGGCCCCCAGCCCACACACCGTGTTAATAGTGATCATACAAGTCACAGGGGTAACCTGATCCTGCTGTGATTTAACTGTGATTAAATCACTGGTTGTGATTTAGTCTCAACCAGTTCTGTGATTTTTTTAACCAAGTTCCTTTCTACCAGTTTTCTTCTTCAGTTTTATTTGGGAGTGGGGAGTCTTTTCAGAGGAGCGGGAGCTGGTCATGAGCCACTTCATAGGTGAGTCTTTTTGTCTTTCTTTCTTTAGTGGTGAAAGTGGTGCTGGAAAGACAGTGGCTGCCAAATACATCATGAGTTACATCTCCAGGGTGTCTGGGGGAGGCCCCAAAGTCCAGGTGAGTTGGTACTGTGGCCCATTGAGACTCGGTGCTGGGCCAGAGGACAAGGCTCTGTTTGCTGTTTGAAAAAGAGTTTTTCTTCCACAGAGAAGATACTGGTTTTATAACCAAGAAGCTTGAAATCTGCAGAGAAACAGCATATTATGAGATGGAGATGCCTAATATATAATTAATATTGTATACAGTCTAGGAGAAGGTCACAAATCCAAAAGGAAAATAAACACAGGGCATAAAAGCCATCTCATAGAAAAGGAAATATAAATGACTCATAAAACATGTGGCTTCCCTTGTGGCTCACCTGGTAAAGAATCTGCCTGCAATGCAGGAGACCTGGGTTCAATCCCTGTGTTGGAAAGATCCCCTGGAGAAGGGAAGGGCTACCCACTCTAGTATTCTGGACTGGAGAATTCCATGGACTGTATAATCCATGGAGTTGCAAAGAGTCAGACACAACTAAGCGACTTTCATTCACTCAGAACATGAAAATATGCTCATCCCCATGATAGTAAGAGAAATGCAAATTAAAACTACATTGAAAAACTGTTTCTTAACTGTCAGAATAACAAAATTTTTCTAGTGTTTAAAACACTCTGTTAAAAATATAGGGGCATTGGCCCTCTCACACATTACTAGTGGGAACATGAACTAGTATACTTCTGTGGAGGACATGTCGGCAAAGTTTTTCAAATTTATAAGCAAACACCCTTGACTCTTCGATTCTGCTTGGGAGAATTTATCCTTTAGGTGTCCTGAAATGTATGCAAAATGATACATGTATAAATTTCTTTGATGTGGCATTTTTTGATGATGGAGAAGACTGGAACAAATGTTCATCAGTTGGTAACTGGGGAAATAATTTGTGGTTCATAATAGACTAGAATATTATGCAACCATAAAAATGAAGCTTCATGTACTGATAAGGATTGATCTCTAAGATATATCATGAATTGCAAAAAGCAAAGCTCAGAATGGTGTATATAATGTGCTACCATTTGAAGAAAAAAGAGCATGTATTTATAAAACATTTGTTTAGATATGTATAACATAGCTCCAGAGGGGTACACATGAAATCAATAGCAGTGATTTCTCCAAGAGGAAACTGGGAGACTAGTGGAGAGGCATTTCTCCATGTAGACCCTTGTGAACCTTTTATTTTTTATTTTATTGACAGGTAAGAGGTAGATTTATTTAGAAAGATATATACTCCATAGGCAGCATGCTGGCTATCTCAGAAAGTAAGAGTGGCTGTGAACCTTTGATTTTTGAATCATGTGAATACATCTCCAATTTTAAAAATTTACAAAAACTTTAAAATACAGAAAGGAAAGAAAGAAAGAAGGATTAGAGTATTAACAGAAAACATTAGGAGAAGGGGGGAAACCCAGAAGAATGAGGACGCAGGAGAAGGATAAAGAAAAGGATGGGCTTCCCTTGTAGCTCAGACGGCAAAGGATCTGCCTGCAATGCAGGAGACCTGGATTTGATCCCTGGATCGGGAAGATCCCCTGGAGAAGGGAATGGTAACCCACTCCAGTATTCCTGCCTAGTGAATTCCATGGACACACCATGGGGTCGCAAAGAGTCAGACGTGACAGATCAACTAACACACATGGTATGGCAGAGAAGGGGCAGATTCAAGAGGACAGTATGAAAAAGGGGTAGATTCTGCCTCATTTGTCTTTAGTTTTACTCATTGTGGTAGTGAAAGCAGCATAAGCAGGACTGGGGAAGCCTTCCGCCAGAGAGCAGCGGATGATGGTGATGAAGCCTAAGGTCAACAGGAACTGCCCAAACTCACAGTGCTCATCACTAGCACAGACCTCTGGGAACTTTTTTTTTAATTAGAAATCATGATCCAGGTAGATTTCACCCTAAAGATTAATTTTTTAGTTGGAACCATTTAATACGATGTTATTGCCGTAGTCAGCTGTACACTTTAAAAAGACACATTGAAATTCTCTTCCTTATGGCTTTGTCCACTAAATCAATAGTGTTCCATTCTGTCCTGGGTGACCAGAATGCTTCAGGCAGAGGCCAGTATTCCTTACGTAGAGTAGAAAGGTCTTAGAGTGGCCTCCTTTACTGAATGAAAGGAAAATCCAGAGCAGCACCATCCAGTAGAAGGATGGTGGGTGTCACATGCATAATTATAAATTTTGAGTACTCACATAAAAAAAGTAAAAAGCATATGAAATTAACTTTTTAAATATATTTCAGTTAACCCACTATATCCCCAATACTGTTTCAGCCTATGATCACTAGTGAGTTAGTGAGATACTCTACGTTCTTTTACATCCTACATCTTTGGACTCCAGTGTGTATTCTGCACTTACAGCGCATCCCAGTTGGGACTGGCCATGCTGCATGGGCTCAGCAGCTTCCATGCTGGACAGCGAGTGCAACTCTGGGACTTAAATTGATGTGGTCCATATGCTTTTCTCCATTTGTGTGACCATACCCTGTCTCTAGAAGATGGACATGGAGCCAGAAATCCAGGATATTCTTTTCTGTGTGGGCTGCTCTTTTAACTTGCTCTTTCTTTTTTTCCCCCTGTATGCTTACCACATGCCACGAAATTCTGTTGGCCATCTTGAGAGTGGATGGATGGATAGATGGATGAATAGATAGATGGATACGTGCAAAAGATTTTCAGTTTAAAAGTCAGTAATTAAGAGGGAAAGAGACAAAGAAGAGCTTTTCTTTTTTTTCCTGTCCCTACAAGGAAGTGGAATATTGATAAGTGGTATAGGGATGTTTGGCCAGCAAACAACAAATACAAAAGATTTACAAAGATCCACAAAGTCAAAATTATATTACAAACAAAAGCAAATTTCATATAAATCCATGAGTTTTTAAAGGAATAATAGGCTGCTTAGAAATATCTTTCTAACTCTGAAATGGATTCCATAGAGGAGTCACCCGTAATTTGCTCTCTGTGCCCATTGTTAATGACATGTGCCCAGTGGATGGAATTCCAGTTCTCCTTGCTCTTCAGAATATTCAGGGGGTGCCAGAGAAGCACTTTGGCTGTTGCAGAGTCAATCAGTGGTTAGTGCCTTCATCTTGTCCGATTTGCTATGGACGACGACCTTGTGGCCCGACTGCAGACATTTAATGTTGATTTTTCTCTTCCTGTTTTCCTATGAGGACAATGATACAGAACTCTTGGCTTGAAATTAGTCAGTAGCTAAAGAGCACAAGCCAAAGACTTGTTATTTCTGGAACATGTTTAACCATAGCATGTGAATAATTAGAAGTACAAGGAATGACTCACTGGTTCAAAACCTTCTCCAACATCAACTCGTATCTGTTGAGCTGTCTTGCCCATGTAGTGTTTTGTACTTTTCAGTCTGACACTGAATTGGGGTATATGAAAACCAAATTCTTCCCCTCCAATAGGCCAGGAATTGTTCCACCCAATGCAGTGTTGATCCTTGTTGCTCAAATGGAGCTCTATACGGACAAAACCAGGAACACCAGGGCTAGAAACGTGGACTCTTGGGCCCCACCTCTGACCTACTGAGTCAGTATTTGCATTTTAACATGATTTCTAGGTGATTCAGGCACGTGAAAATTTGGGAAGCACAGGTCTGTGTGTCTGTAATGTTGTTAAGGGAGGAGAAACTATTTAATTTCCCTCAAGGTAAGTCTCATTTGCAGTGAAGAGGGGGATGCAATAGGTGGGGACAGAAGTTGAGTATAACAGGAGTAGTGATGATTAAGAATCTGGTCAGAAGACAAGAAGATACCCCTTCTTATGTTCCCCGATATACCAGGGAGCACAGGATAAAGCTACACCATCCAATCTGGAAACCCAGTCTGGGAACATTCATAGATCCTGATTTGTGTTGGCACCCTGGCTACAGGGAATCCTGCATCAAGCCAGGGGAGCTGCAAGACATGACCACACCAACAGGGCCAGATCTGTTGAGAGGAAAGAGTAAATCCTCCAGAAATCCCAGGGACTTGGATTTGAGTCCTCTCACCCTCACCGCATTCAGAAACCAGGTCCTCAGGCAAGTCTGGTCTTTCACTGGCAGGTAGGTGTTCGTGTCTTCCTAACTTTGGTCTTTCTGCTGTAACAGCACGTCAAGGACATCATCCTGCAGTCCAACCCGCTGCTGGAGGCCTTTGGGAATGCCAAGACGGTCCGGAACAACAACTCTAGCCGATTTGTGAGTTTCTTTCCTGTGATAGAGAGTGCCACCTGATTGATGTTGTTGACATTCCTGATTTAAGTTCCGTGTCCCCAAGGAAATAGGGGTTTTTCACACATTATCAGGAGGCTGCCTTTTTGAGCTTGTTTTTTACTTTTCTCTAGTGGTGAACTGTCAGACTTCAATTCACCCTTTGACTCAAGTTCTTTTTGAGCCTTGGGGATATAAATAAGATCATTTTTGAAACCAGTTCTCTACTCAAGTTGCCTTCCTAAGGAAAGTGGAAGTGTCAGCTTTGGTCTTGGAGAAGTTTCTTTGCTTTGGACACTGGAGAAAAGGCCTTCTTTCCCAACTGAAGAATCCAGGAGACTAGATCCCAGGTCTTGTCACCTTGTCTTGCTTTGTAGATCTGTGGACCCTGGAGTGGACACTTTGATACGGCACCTTAGAGAGAAACTTCTTCCTGTCTGTCGGCCAGAGGGAGCTGACTGCTTACCCTACCCCTCTTGGCTTTTTGGGTGTGTGTGTTTGGCATGTTCTTGTAACATAATGGCATGCCAGACTGACTGGCCTTAGCCTACACATTGCTCCTAACTGGCCTGCTTACCGAAAGTAATGAAAACATCAGCCGAATGCCTTGAATGCCTAGTTAGACGTTTTTCTGTCTGAGCGTCTCCCGAGGGGGTGAACTGGAAGGCTGGCAAGGATGAATATGAATATATTCCCTTTGACAAAAAGCCACGTTTACAGAGAAATGAATGTTTGCTCAGTAGCTTTGATTTATGTAGATTTTGTATCTTATCTCAACCATAGATTATGTCTGGCAGTAAAGCACTTAGGATACCATCTGTGATGTGGATCCTGTTCCATTTTAAAATAAATAAGTGAGAATTTTGGAGAAAAGCGATTTCTTTTTTATCCTTCTGTTTTAGAGGGAAGCTTCTATTTCCAAGAGAATTCTTACTAAGTTTTCATGGAGTAATTGTTAAGCTCCCTGGTGAGTTTTATCTGTCAGAATTGCCCTTACTTTCCTCACTGTTTAATACTATTTGAGCTATTTACTCATTTGTTCTCAAATTTTTCTGCTCAATGCCAGGGCTATGTTATCTTGAATTTTCTAGGTAATGAAATAAGAAAGAAGATGTGAATGAATTTTTCACCGGATCTTTTCTTCCCTGATTGTCCATCTCAATCTGCCTTATAAAAATGGATTTGAGCAAATTTAACTCTCTGGCTACCCACCTTCCTTCTTCTGCCTTCCTTACTGAGCAGAAGAGTAACCAAATCAATATTTCCCTTGATATTTCCAGTGTAAATTATTCTTTTGCCTTTGGACAAGGAGGCTATAGCAGTCAGTTTTTGTAAAGAAAAGCAAAAATACCCAGAATTTGTTATTTTTCTGATAACAGAATTTCATACAACCCTGATGGAATGGTGGGGAAAGCGTACAGAAAGGCAGTACACACACACACACACACACACACACACACAGATACACACATATGCACATGTGTATACACACAGCAGAATCTGATGGGACATCAAAAGATGTGCTCATTAGTAATGAGGGAAATGTAAATTAAAACCATATATCATTTTCAGTCTCTCAGATGATGACACATTAAGGAGGAAGACACTGTTAATTAAAGACTGACATCTTCTCCCAGGAGAGAAATTTGGCAGTTCTTATCAAAGTTTAAAATGCTCATTGTCTTTGACCCAACAATACTTTCAAGGTATAATATCCTTGTTCCCTATTAATAATAGTTTATGTTAAAAGATATCCATAATATATTATTAATTTTTTTCAAAAAGCTTATAGGACAATATCTATAATATGGCCCCATTTTTATTTTAAAATGCACATTTATATAAAGCATAATTAAGGTATCTGCAAATCGATGTTTGAATATACTATTACAGTGATTAGCAGGAGGAGTTAGAAGCGCTTCAGGGTGGGATTATGGGTAATTTTACTTCAAATGGACTTGGCAGTGGGAGTCATAAAATTCATCTATTTCCACTTACAACTCTTTTCAAGTTTCAAGAACTGTATTATGAAATATTTCAAACACTATTTTAAAATAAAACAGTGAACACTGAGGTACCCAGTACCTAATTTAAGAAGTAAAATATTACCAAGACCTGAAGTTTCTTTTCATTTACAAATTAAAATAGCTTATCCTCTCTTTATATAGTTTCCTCCTTCCCTCAGGCTGCTTACAATAAGACCAAACTTTTTGATCTCTCATTAGGGATTTTTGCCTTTTAAATTACAATTTTGAGTTGTGTATAAGCATTCCCATTACATTAGAGCAGTGATTCTCAAGCTTGGCCACATATAAAAAACACCCAGGTGGACTTCCCTGGTGGCCCAGTGGTTAAGGATCCACCTACCAGTGCAGGGGACACAGGTTTGATCCTAGATCTGGGAAGATCTCACCTGCCACAGAGCAACTGAGCCCATGTACCACAGCTACTGAACCTGTGCTCTAGATCCCAGGAGCCGCAACTACTCAAGTCCACAGCCTGTGCTCCCCAGCAGGAGAAGTCAACGCGATGTGAAGCCCTTGTATCGCGACAGGAGAGCCCATGCAGCAGTGACGATCCAGCAGAGTCAAAAATGCAAACCGGCCAGGCCTCTTAGAGCTACTCATGTCTGGGTGCCAGTTCCTAGCAACTGATTGGCTTGTCTGGAATGGCATCAGGCAGCATTTCTTAAAGGCTCCCAGGATCTTTCTCGTGGGCAGCCAAGGTTGTGAACCATTTCCAGAAGGACTTGAGAGTTTGCCGTTTATCAAATCTGCCCTTCGTGGCTTTGACATCCTGTATTGTTTAATTTCTCTCCCTAGATTGATAGGGAATGGTGGTGGGGTGGTGGGGTCAGACAAAAATGGACACTGAATTATTCCCTGCAGAACATGCCCAACGGGAAAGATGGAGAAGGATGGCCACGGAAGGAAGCATGAGGGGTCTTGTTGAGCAGACTTTGTCGTGAACCACTGTGGTTCGGGATAGCAGTCGTTTGTGGTTCTCCATGTCTGCTGCTTCGGGATGTTTGTCTTGGGTTTATTTTTGGGAGAGGGAGAGGCATGAGTCAGCAGATTAAGACAAATAGACAATTAGACTGTGGCTTTCTTTTGTAGCCTTTTTGATACCCAGAATCGACATTAACTTAGCAGGAACATAGCAGGTAGTAGGTGCTATCCACAGGAGGAAAAACACGCAGTGTGTTTTTCTTCTCCTTAGTGAGTTAATGGTTCTGGTCAGAGACTTGTGGCTTGGCAGGCTTTATCCCTGAGATGGTGGAGTTCATCAGCATACACATTTAAAAAATATTAAATGCGAATGCAGTTAGGCTGGGCATGCTCTCCAGTCTGACCCTAGGTCACACCACTCCCTAAAGCCCAAATTCTCATCTTTTTCTTCATTTAAATTTATACTCCTGGACCCTTCTGAGGACTGAAGAGACGCTAAGTTGTAGTTTTAAAAAAATTATTTACTTAACAAATCTGGACACCTTTTCAGCTACAGTCCAGGGTTTTATTCTCTTTTGTTCCCTATTAGCAGTCATTTAAAAGGAAATGTTAACAAGAACAACAGTGACAAAAATCGCCACACCCACAGCTAGCTGGAAAGAACTTATAAAAGTATTTTTATTTCATGTTAGCATATTAGATGCTCCTGGGATAAAAAGAAATTGCTTTTGCTCAAAGCCATGAAAATAAGTCTCTCAGAATGAAAATTTGATTCCTTTGAAAGAGGCTGGCAGAGTTCACTCTTGTTAGATCAAGAAGACCATGTGATTTTTTTGTCTTATTCTTTACAGCTTCTGGTTTAGCAGACAAGCACCTACTAAGGGAAAAGGGGAAGGAATATAGTGAGTGTGTCCATATTTAGTCGGGTTAGAATGATAGAATTTGCTCTTTCAATACAGAATTGTATGATTGGACAAAGGCACAGGTTATTGTCTGATAGGAAACAGTGAGGAAGTCTAGACCAGAACTGGGAATAATTCAGAACATGTCTTTCATTAATGAATTTCCTTGAATTATATGCTGTGTCCCAAGCCTGCTTGGAACATCATGTTTTTGTTCACCGACCACTAAAGGAAGTCCCTAATTTTCTTGCAGGGAAAATACTTTGAAATCCAGTTCAGCCCAGGTGGGGAACCAGATGGTGGAAAGATCTCCAACTTCCTTCTGGAAAAATCTAGGGTGGTGATGAGGAACCCTGGCGAGCGGAGTTTTCACATATTTTACCAGGTTTTCCTTTACATTATTTCTTTCCTACTTCTCTATTCCTTCTCCACATTTAAAATGTTCTTCTCTTGGTCCTCACATCCTCAGGGTGAGATAGTCTAGTCTGGCCAACCCTTGAGCCTTTATTAACGCAGGATGTGCAAGTCAGTGTGCAAAGAACTGTGAGAATGCCCTTACCTGCAGGCAGGATAAGGTCTAGCTGGGTGAGAAGACAAAAATTTCCCTAAAGTAAAACAATCAATAAAGTGTTGATACACTTCGGAACAAAAGTAGGGATGTTTGATTCTTGGCTAAATAGGAGATCACGAGGGGAGGTATAGCTGGGACAATAAGGAGAGCTTTTAAGGGGGCACAAGATTGTGTGGAGGAGAGGTTGACTCAGGTTGAGTCAGATGGTCTGAACAAAGCACGAAGGGAGGGATGGGAAGGTGGGGAGATGGGAGAGGTGGAGGGGAAGGGATCGGTGAGCTAATGAATGAGCCAGGCTCCAGCCGGATTGCAAGGGCAGAGGTCTCCAAAAGGTGAACTATGGGAAGAAAGACTTGAAAAAGACTTGAGGTATTTCTTGCCAGATCAAAAAGTTTTGGCTTAGACTCTCAGAAGCCATGGAGAGTTTGGGGTTAGAGCAGTCGGCCAGATGTTTTTAAATTATGTCTCAGGCTTCAGCAATCATTTGTTTCAACTGTTTTTTTTTTAATGTTTTTTAATGATTATTGATTTTTATTGGAATATAATTGCTTTGAATGTTTTTTAAGTATTTGAAAGTGTAATGATACCATAAACAATTTTTTTAATGTATAAATTTTTGTATTAGTGCTTCATATACCGGGGACCTACATTATATTTTCTTTGAAGAATCAGCTGCAACTGTTAGGTGTTGTTTTGTTTTGTTTTTTAATTTTTTGTTAGAGTTTGATGATTATTGAATTTGAAGGAAGTTAAGCTATGTTGATTGCTCCCATTTCAGTCTTTTCAATTACATAGACATGTTAGGTGATGGCAAACAATTCTTCTGGTTAGAATTTATTGGCTTAAAATATCCATAAATGACCAAAAGCTTCTGTCAATTCAGTACTGCTTCTAATTGTATTAATCAAAGCACCATGTACAGGTCTTTGAAAAGTAGTTTCATGTATCACATACACTATATTATTTATTGAGCACTGGACAGAAGTTCATCATTATTTCCCAGTCGCTGTACTATAAATGCCAGCCCTACCCCCCTTCAGAATCCTCTGCCCACAAGTTGGAAAACCCCAGCCTGGGACTGGGGAAGTGATGAGTTCAGGGTAAGACAGAGTTTAAGATTCTGATATAAAAGTGATAGTAGAAGCTGTGAAATAGGTGAGACTCCTGTACGAGTGAATGTGGAGAGAAAAATCATGCTCATTTAGGACTTGGGGACCTGGAGACCACCTGTGGGATAAGGGAGGCATTGAGGAGCCAGGAAAGTAGTCAGGGATCCTGCAGTGTCACCGAAGCCAGGGGAAGCTTTCGGGGTACAGGGCAAGATCACATATTCAGAGCTTGGGGGAGAGGGATGAGGCAAGGGCCTGGGGACTCAGCAAGGACTGGTAGCTTCAGCCTCTGGAAAGCAGCAGAATAGTGAGGGGGAGGAAGAAACCAGATGAGGAAGGAGAGGAAGGAGACTATGTATCTTGAAGGATTTCAGAGTCAAGGAAAAGCTTCTAAAGAAGACAAAGAAGCATGTGACTGTAGATTGGAGAGAAAGAAAGGGATGTTTGAACATTCAGGTGAAGGGAGTGCATGATCTGGGGGGGAGAACACTGAGACAGATGGGAGAAGTTCTTCCCTAGACAAAACCAAAACCAAGAGGAAAAGGAAGAGAGTGGCACAAAGATTTTAAGGAGATGGGGGAAAAACCAAGGGAACCTGATGTAATAGGATGACTGAGAACTTCTCTATAATGGAGAGGAGGTTCCCTGTTTTAAGGATGTGAAGGTGGGATGCCATGAGGAACTAAACCAAGATGAAGACGTGTGGATGGGGTGGGGGCCAGCGGTGGCTGGCGCTGGCTTGCATGCACTGTATTTCTTCCTTCCGTGACACCTCAGTTTGAAATCAGTCATGGTAGGAATATTTACACCACCAAAGTTAGCAACTGCTGCAAATTCATTCCCCACCCCCACCTCAAGAATGGATTGCTGAGGACTTCCCTGGTGGTCCAGTGGTAGAGCATGCACGTGCCAGCGCAGGGAACACAGGTTTGATCCCTGGTCCAGGAGGATTCCCCATGCTGTGGGGCAGCTAAGCCCGTGGTGCCACACACTCTGAGCCCGTGCTCTGCAACAAGAGTAATCGCCACAGTGAGAAGCCCAGGCGCCACAACTAGATAGTAGGTCTGCACTTGCTGCAGCTAGAGAAACCCACATAGCATAGCCAGAAAAAGAGAGAGAGAGAAAATGGATTGTTGGACATTTTCTCGCACACCTATAGGGCCCTTGCTCAGAACTAAGGTAGATACCAGAGACAGAACAGAAAGCCAAGGCACAGGACAGCAGCGTGGGGGACCTGAGGCTGCACTTGAATATGCACCGTGTTGTGAGAAGCATTGAGAGTCCAGCTGCCCTTTAAAAAGCCTTGTATACTGACTCACATTGTTGTACAATAAAAGCTAACACTAGGTTGTAAAACAAATATACTCCGATTAAGAAAATAAAAAATAAGAGTTGAACTCCAACAAAAATTAAAAAAGAGCCATGTGCAAGTTGAGCAGGAACAAAGTAGTTATAATCTATCTTGCTCTCCACTGTTCCAAGGGATCTCACCAGTGTAACTGCGCAGTTCTGTGTGTCAGATAAGGGAAAATTCTCAGTCCTTGCAGGTCTAATCAGAGTTAAAAACTAGAATTTGCAGAGATGATTTAGGGCTACTACACAGAGAGCAGATATTCTGAAGCCCCTTCGTATTTTTGAGACCAGGAGCATCCCACCGTTTAGGAAGCAGGGGTAGAAGGTCTGATCGCCTGGACTCCGGGGGTGGTGGGTGGCAGTGTGGTACCTTTGCCTGATCCTTAGGCTCCACCACACACTTGCCACTTTCTCTTGCTCCAGCTTATCGAGGGCGCCTCCCCAGAGCAGAAGCATGGCCTGGGCATCACCACCATGGACTACTATTACTACCTGAGCCTCTCGGGGTCCTACAAGGTGGATGGCATTGATGACAAGAAGGAGTTTCAGGAAACTCTGGTAAGTGCTGGTGCAGGCTGGGCACGATCTGACGTCTAGACCAGGTGTTGTCTGTGGCAGAAAGGGCAGGGGGGGTGAACAGAGCAAAAAGCAACCTGGAACATCACCCCTCTCTGCTGGAAGCGCTCCATTTCTTAAAACACGTGTAAACACCCTTAAATAGCCATCAGCCCAGTTGCCAGAGGACTACTTAATGATTAAACATGGATAATAAAAAAGTTCATCATTACCCCTCTCTCGGTGTTCTGATTCACATAAAAACTATTTTCAGTAATGCATTTACCATACCTGTTTGCTGAAAGCTTACACAGTTGTTGACCTGTTTCCTTACAAGACAAACCAAAAATTATGATCTTAATCAGGTTTAGAGGGACTTCCCTTGTGGTCCAGTGGCTAAAACTCCAGGCTCCCAATGCAGGGAGCCCAGGTTCAATTCCTGGTCAGGGAACTACATCCTACATGCCACAACTAAGACCCAATACAGCCAAATAAATATTTAAAAAAAAAAAATCAGGTTTAGGAATCTTAGAACACCTTTGATCTCATCTCCACCTCAGTATTTATAGGTCAGAGGGCAAGCCCAACTCCATTCTTCTCACATTGTGTATACATTTTGGTACACACTGTGAATTCAGGTAGATTATTGAGGGTTCACATCCTTGGGGAAACAACTTACTAACTCAATCAATCTAGAACTTTCTAGGATTTCCCTGGTGGTCCAGTGGAAGACCACCATGCTTCCACTGCAGGGGGCACATGTTTAAAACCTGGTCAGGGAGTGAAGATCCCACATGCCATGTGGTGCTGCCAAAAGAAATTTTAAAAATAAAAAATAGAACGTTCTAGAGGTGGACTATTCACCCATTTAGCCTCAAGGAACTGCATCACCGCTGTCCTTTAAGTCAGGTACCAGCCTGGCTCATCCCTCAGCCTGGATCCAAAACCACGTGGGAAAACTGAATGGGCAATTGGAGGTACAGTTTCAGGTGGCAGGGGGGCTGACATTTGTGCTTGAAAGGGGCAGACTGTGTCCCAGGTGTCAGGAAAGGAGGTGGCATCAAGGGGCCATGTGGCCTCAGAGGAGGTGGGAGAAAACGTGCAGACAGGCCTGCAGCAGTCTTGGAAAAGAGCCCCCTTAAGATACGGGTATCTAAGGCCTTTCATCTCCTTTTATTTGAATTTAGTGGATCTCAGAAACAAAGCTTTTCTAATGATGCTTTTATTTGGTTTTCCTGGAAGTTTTCAAGATTCTTTTGCAAGTACAATTTATTCTCAGCCCTCCCAATGAAGAGAAAAATCTGTGAGTTTGGAGTGGCTGGAAAGCAGCACTGGTGCCCTTAGAGGGAGAGGGTAGCAACAAGGAAAAATTAAGAGACAAGAACAGACTTGTTGACTGGGCAGCTGCCTCTGCATCTGAATATCTTTCCTCCAGAGCCTTCTCACATGTATTTCTAGACGATTACATGTTCACATTGGGCAGGTTATTTATTGGGCTCCCCTGGTGGCTCAGTGATAAAGAATCTGCCTGCAATGCAGAAGATGTGGGTTCAATCCCTGGGTCGGGAAGATCCCTGGAGAAGGAAATGGCAATCCACTCTAGTATTCCTGCCTAGAGCATCCCAGGGACTGAGGAGCCTGGTGGGTTACAGTCCATGGAGTCGCAGAAGAGTTGGGCCTGACTGAGTGACCAAACCACAAAATATAAATTTCAAGACTGAACTGCCTTTCCAGCACCGTGTTGAGACTTGAACGTGTGAGAGGGCATTGGTCAGTGAAACTGTCTTATGGTGACTTCTAAGCCATGTGTAAACTGCACAACCCCATCCAAGCTTTGGTTTCTTTCTGATATGCTTCCATAGCTGGTGACCGACTTGTCTGGGTTGTTTCTCTCCCCTCTTCCAGCATGCCATGAACGTGATTGGGATCTTTGCAGAGGAGCAGGCACTGGTGCTACAGATAGTGGCGGGGATTCTCCACCTGGGAAACATCAGCTTCAAGGAAGTTGGCAATTATGCGGCCGTGGAGAGTGAAGAGTGTGAGTGATTTGGGCACACGGTTGCCAAATGAGGGGATACAGTGTTTAGTTCCGATCAGAATAACTCACCACTCTCCTATGCTTTGGGTTTTTGGGGAAGAGAGGCTGAGAAGACTGGCATGTCTTGCTGTGGCAGAACTGAAAGGCCTCATGAGAGTCTGTGCCTCTTCTGTGCACCCAACCTAGGGACCACTGATAAAGTTATTCTGGTTTATCTTTAACCTTGGGGAAACCTGGCAGAATTTTACATGTAGGTTTAAAAATAAAGTGATACTTTAATGAGAATTAGAATTGTCTCCTACTAAAAGTCTTTTCTGTAACTGATCTTTAGGGTTAATATTCACCTGAAGTTTCTCTCAGGATGTAAGTAAATACGAATAGCTCACAGGTTTGTAAGTTGCCCCGTGGGTTGGATTAGATTTGGTTTCTGAAAACAAGTGGGGGAAGAATGGACACCGTTGTGTTGATCTTGCTGATGATGTCTTTAATGGCCCCTCGGCAGCAGTCAGAAGACCTAAACGATTGCCTTTACCCTTTGAGAAGGGATCAGGTGCGCCCTGCTGAGGCGCACTCCTGCGTCTGTGTATACCACTGTGCTGCAGCCGCTGTGGCGTGTGACTTTAGCCTCTTTGTCATCGGTCAGCTTTCCAGGCTGCTCTCAGAACCCACACATCCTTTAACCACCCAGGAAGACGTTTCTTCCTTTCTCAGCATTCTTCCAAGATGATAAATTTAGATGCCCAGTAATAAATAGTATCCTACTCATTGCTGACAGTGCAGTGAGGCTCTTTCCATTCCAAATAAGGTTCTTTTTTTATATTTTTGTTCTCTTTAGTGATAAAAGAGGGAAGTTCTGCTAACTTTAGATGTCTGTCTGATAAGGAGAAACATGAATTATGTTTACCAGGGGAGGGAGTGGGGTGGAAAACAATAAATGCACAGGGCATCCATTAAGTCTAGAAGCACAACCCAGTAATAATAACTATGTTTTCATACTTTCTGTGCTTTATCCTTCACATTTAACAAATGCATGTGTGTGTCCAGGAGGGTCATGAACACTTGCCTTTCAACACTGACCTTTCCGATTTCTTGACAGTTTCTATAGACATACACTGGCATTCTCTTGCTTTCTTACAATCCTTTACTGACCCTTTAGGCTGGAGGAAAAGGTCATGGCTTTGACACAGCAAGTATTTTCCTGGATGCTTGAGCCAAGAAGCCTCCTCAGCCAACTGGATAAAATCCAAGATTGGCAACTGCCATGAGCTCCCCTGATTGAAAGTGGTGTGGGGCTATCGCCATCAGAGAAGGCTATGCTTGAAGCCAAAGAGCTTTAAGAGAGAAATAGGCCCTTCTCCCAGTCGTATTGTTTTTTTCCAGTTGGTAGTACCTAAACATGGTTCAGGGTAGTACATGATCACAGTTCTCACATCTACCCATTTGCTAGTCAGAATCTGCCTGTAATGCAGGAGACCTGGGTTCAATCCCTGGGTTGGGAGGATGCCCTGGAGAAGGGAAAGGCTACCCACTCCAGTATTCTGGCCTGGAGAATTCCATGGACTGTATAGTCTATGGGGTTGAAAAGAGTCAAACACGACTGAGCGACTTTGACTTTCACTTTCACTATTCGCCTCTGTAGTAGGAACCACTGTTTCCAATCTGTTGTATTCCTTTCAGGGGAATATTGTGCTCCTAAGAAACTACTCATATCTCTTCTTTTTTTCCCTACTATTCTACGTTAGTGGGAGTTTATAACATGCTCTACAGTTGATTTTTCATTCCACATTGTATCTTGGAGATTATTCTACAGCAGCTCATTAAGAAGCTTCATTTAAAATATATATATACTTTTTTGTTTGTTTTATAATTGATTTACAATGTGTTAGTTTCAAGTGTACAGCAGAGTGAATCAGTCATGCCTATACACATGTCCACTCTTTTTAGATTCTTTTCCCATATACGTCATTACAGCGTAGACTGCCCGTGCTACACAGTAGGTTCTGATTGGTTCCTTTCTCTGTGTAGTAGTGTGTATATGTCCATCCCAATCTCCTAGGTTATCTCTCCCCCTCTCTTATTCCCTGGTGACCAAAGGTTGCCCTCTGTATCTGTAACTCTGTTTCTAATTTTGTAATGTGTACCCTTTTTTTGAGATTCCATATATAAGCAATATCATATATTTGTCTTTCTCTGGCTGACTTATTTCACGCAGTATGACAATCTCCAGGTCCATCCACATTGCTGAAAATGAGGAAACCCCATCCTTCTCAAAGCTGCATTGGCATTCCACTGCCTGACTGTACTTTAGTTTATTGAACCCATCATCTGTTGGTGGACGTAAAGATGGTTTCCTGTTACTCTTCCAGTTACTTAAAATGAATAAGCTGGTTTGTGTTATCTTTCTCATATTTGACTTTAATATATGGAATACTGTTATAGAGCGAAGGCTTAGCCAATGTTTTTATAAAGGAAGAAAGCAGACTTTTCTTAGCTATTGTAGAAAAAAATCGTTAAGACTTTGATTGCAACTGGTCTTCTAAAGCAGAATATTAAATGCAAATTAGCTTAAGAACTTTGTTGAAGGAAATAAAAATACTACTTAAGTAACCACGGGCGTAAAGTAACAGTGCCCCTTCTTTGCCTTGTTATCAGTGGGTTAGAAAGCACAGACCCTCAACACCCAAGATTGACAAACCACATTTACTTTGCCATTTCTTTTAAATTTGTAACAGGGAGTTTTGTTTTGCTACATCTTTTTGGTTTCTCTATATTCCCTGTACTTAAATGGAAAAATTCAATCCAACTTTGCTTTACACTTGAATGCAGTAGTAGAAATCTATCCTCATTATCAAAATGTGCTAAAACATTCTTTTCTAGCGGATTCTTTTATGCCCTGCATAATTCTGTTTAACTCTACCAGAGTTATGTCAGCATTTTTAAAATTAATCAGTGCTTTCTCCTTGCTCTCTCTTTCCCAACCCATTCCCCCAGCCTCTGAACTTCCAAATTGCCACTCCTATCCAGCCATTCTTGCATACACCTTCATAGAAATTCATAGCCGGAACGAAGTCAATATGAGCAGCCCTACAGTTTCAGCACCAGGGAAGCCATAGAAGAAGATACTATACTTGAAAAACATAGCAAGCATATTTTGGAAAAACAAGTACTAGATTTCCTCTCTAGACTTCTTAGCTGTGTCCCTAAGCTTGTGACTTTGATTCTTGACCAAAACTCCCTGCCTTGTTTTTCGAGTGCCTGGGGTCCTTCACTTTTGCCCTCTTCTACTTAAGAAATATGAGGTCTGGAAGGATATTGTTTTCTTGTCAGTCTTGTCTGTTTCATCTCAAGGACCCTAGGACTTATGCCATATTGTTTTATTTCTTTAGCTGTGGCTATAATGGTAATGCCATAAACATTTCTACCAACCATTTTAACTGTGTCCCTAGTTTAGCATGGTTGGGGGCTTGGGAGAAGCCCATGTTTCATCTCCGTGTTAGCTGCCTGGTGAGAGTGATAATAACCAACACTGTAGTTTCTCCTTCATGAAGGCCTCCTCACTAAGTGTCTTTTGATTCTCGTGCAAAGCTGCACATGTGATTTACAGGCATCTTATGTCCTTGTTCTGTGCAAGGTAATTTTCATTTTGGCAGAATACACATCCAGATTCCTAAACATATGTGTGGTGAAACTAAACTTAAAGGAAACTGGCCATTGGCAAATTAGCGTGTTTAATTTTGTTCACATGCCCTTTGAAAAACGAAGCCCTCTCCCCATCAGAGCATTTCTGTGCAGCAGTCACATAGATGATAAATACCTTGTTCTAGCATTGTACTTTTTCAAAATGCTTTCACTGACTTAATCTCCTTGGAAGGTATATACTGAGAAATGTCAGCCTGTTACATTCCAATACCATCTGTGAAACTCAAACAGATTAATCTTTATTGGGAGCTTTATGATTTTTGAGCATTATCATAATGTCTTTAATAAAAATCCCTTTATCAGAGAATTTTGGCAAAACTTTATGCAGAAAAAGAGAATTCATATCCAAGTCCAGAATTTTGATTTGTGTTCACAAAAATCTTTCCTTAGTACTGGAAAAAATCTGAGCATTCTTTCACGTCCAGGAATCTCATTCTTGTCATTTATTCATATTAGAGTATTTCGACCAAAAAGTCAAGAAAACCTGTTTGTATCTCTGGGCCCCCTCTTGGTGAGTTTCTTGGCTTGAGACAATTTGCTGAGCTGTGAGAACCTCACCTTTTCTATCTGAAGGCCACAAGCTATGCCAACTGCATGTGCTTAGTATGGGATGTTTTTTCTGTGGTGTGACTACTACAGTCCCCTCCATTGCTTATACTCTGCCCCAGGGAAATCTGGTAACATGTGTCTCTAGAAGCCATCCAGGCCCCCTTTGACTCCAGACCAAATATCCCCTACCATTCAATTCCACCGTCAGAATTCATCCTAATCTTTTAATCACCTACCTTGACCTTCATCTCCAGCCAGTCCTCACCTCAGCCGTGTCTCCCCTACCCAGGGTCCTTGCCTTTGCACGTCCCATTCCCCTCTCTCCCTCTTCTTTCTTCCTCTGCATTTGTGCAAACCCTGTTCAGCCTTTTAGCCCCTCCCCTTCCCCCCACCAAATTCCACATCTTCCTTGACCACCCCAGCAAACAGTAATATCTCTCTGTCCTAAGTTCCTCCAGGGACTTTATTGCCTGTCCATGTCACATACTCAGCTTTTTGTAGGCTTCTTTATTTGGTTAACTATCTTTGCCCCATCTAAATTGTCTTCAAGATTTCTTAAGTATTTTATATCCTGTCTTCTGTCTTTAGTAACCCAACACATGGTAAGTACTCAATAACTATGTGATTTGTTATCATTATAAGTTTGATGAAATCAGGTGCTTCAAGCTGGGAATGATGATTCTATGAAAACACTGTACCAAAAAGGAAGAAAAACAGTATTTCGAGCCAAAAAAATGTTTCTTCATTTAGTTCCTTCCAGGCTGTCTTGCTGCAGACTTGGAAAGATGTCCATTTTAGGCATTTGGCTGTGATCTCAGTAGGGGGGATTGATTTGCCACCCTTCTTGGATCACTGATTTGTATTATTGAAAGTCTCGGTCGTCATAGGAATTGACTCATGTAATAGAAAAGTTGGGAAAATTTAAAGTGGATGGATGTGTGTGAGATCTCTGATAAGCAGTCTTCATTATAGTGAAAGATCTTGGAGGCTAATGATGGTTGGTATCTTGCATGTGTGCACACACATGTCTTCATGTATTTGTGAGAGGAATTGTTAAAAAAATCTGAAAGACAGTCATGTTTTTGTTTTGTTTTGTGTAGTTTTGGCTTTTCCTGCCTATCTCCTGGGGATCAACCAGGACCGGTTGAAAGAAAAGCTAACAAGCCGACAGATGGACAGCAAGTGGGGAGGCAAGTCAGAGTCTATCCATGTGACCCTCAACGTAGAGCAAGCCTGTTACACCAGGGATGCACTTGCCAAGGCCCTGCATTCCCGGGTCTTTGATTTCTTGGTAGATGTAAGTAAACACAGATTGACATTGTTGGGGCTTCATATTCTAATGTCATGTAAAGAGTAAAACATCTCAGAGCTTTGTTTTCACGTTTTGGCTCATTCCTTATGTGATCATCACTTTACTCCTCCATGTTTTATCCTCACACTGGAACCAGTTTTTACTTTTCCACTTTTACTTCTAGTATTGTCCAGCAAAAAAAAATATGGTAACAGTTTCTTGTGGACAAAATATTTAGTGAAGCCAGAACTACAGACCAGAAAAAGGGGAGGCCCACTGTCGTAAATCTTTCAGCTTAAAGGTTTAGAATTTTGTATTTGTCATCTATTGTTATGTTACAAATTAACCCAAAACTTAGTGGCTTAAAATAGTAAGCATTTATTTTTTCACAGTTTCTGTGGGTCAGCTATTTGGAGGTGACTTCGTTTGGTGGTTCTGACTCAGGGATGAGAGGGCAAAAAGATGCTGATTAGAACTACAGGGCTTGACGAGGGTTGGAGAATCTGGTTCCAAGATGGCGTCTTCATATGGCTATTGGCAGAATGCCTCAGTTCCTTGCTACATGGGCATCTTTTTTGGAGCTGCTTGAATATCCTCACAACATGGGAGTTGATTTCCCCTAGAATGAGTAAGAGAAAGAGCAAGGAAGAAGATGCAAAGATTTTGATGTCCTAATCTTGGACTCAAATATTGCCACTCTGTCAGCTTCTGTTCATTAGAAACAAGTCACTAAGGACAGCCCACAGTTAAGAGCAGAGGATTTAATTTCCAGTTTTTGGGGGAGAGGAGTGTCAAAGACTTTTCGGACATATTTTTTAAACTACCACAGACTTTTAAAATGATGGTGTAACCATACAGATATTACATCTAAATATGCATATAAATACATATTTACATATGTATATAACTTATAGATTCTGAAAAGCAGTCTCTCAGCACTGTCACTGACAGTGACAGTCTGTGTTAATCACTGTAGCTTGTAAATGGTTAGAATAATAACAGCAAGCACTTATATAGCACTACTATGTGCCAGATACTGGTTTAAGTATTTTAGAAAAAAATAATTCTTATAACAACTCTGTGACATAGGCATTATTATATTTATTAAACATATAAGCTAACTCTGAGGCACAGAGAGGTTCGGGAACTTCGCCAAGGTCACACCACTATTAAGTGATAAACCTAGGACTTAAACCCAGGTAATTTGGCAGAGCTCCAGCTATTTCACTCCTCTACCTTTTATATATTTCAGCCAGAAAGAACCCCAGGGGAACCCCAGTCAACGGACAACAGGCTGGCCATTAGGTCCAGAAAGTCTGTGTTTCACTCCAGGCAACATCTGTAAGGCTTAAAGTATTGTTGGGTGTGTTTAGGGTTGAGTAGGTCAGAGCAGGGTAGGGTAAATATTCTGTGTACTTCTTATGGTTATATTAATGGTAAGGTTGCTTAGAAAGGTCAGGGTTATACAAAACATTAGTCGTGCTTTTAGCTTGTCCAGGCCCATCATTATACTGACAAGGGAATCTTAGCCCGAGAATTGGTGATTTCACCCAAGGCCATTAGCAGGAGGGTTGTGCCGAACTGGGATTAGAACCTACATCTCTTGCCTCTGTTCAGTGAACCTTCCAGTGCTGACCTTCCCACTTTATTTCCTTTCTGTCTTCCCTTGATTGTGTGGTGTAATGGGGCAGATGCCCTGTATAACTGATACTAATTGGAGCTGACATTTATTAAGCCCTGACTCTGTGCCAGGCACTGGGCTAAGTGCTATACATCATTACCTGTTGGCTGATAAAAGATGAATGTCATTTTCTTTGCCTGGAAAACAACTCTGGTACTTAAAAATTCCTCCAGTTATTCTCAACCCCCAGGAATTTTTCTCTTACATTCCTCCCTCCCCTGCAGGCCTGACTGACCCCCTTTAACCTACACCCGCCTCCTAACATTGTCTGTTTCATTGATTACACATCTCTTTTCACAGTGGTCAAGAACACAGATATAATCATCATACTACTTAAATTGAATTCCAGACCCTTCCTCTTATCCAGTGTGGTTTTATACATTATGATGTTATCAGTGTCATTAAGAGGATTGTAGCGAGAACTAAATGAAACAACACTTGGGAAGCCCTTCCCAAAGCCTGGTGAATGTTGAATCCATCTAAAGTTGCTTTTCATTACCATCGCTTTAATACTAATTAATGGCATTACTGTCCACAGTTGCCTCTGAGAATAAAGACTGTCTTGTTGACATTTCCTGCCATATTATGTTAGATGATCATTAACTGACTACAGGGCATACCTTGTTTTATTATGCTTTGTAGATACTTGGTTTTTTTACAAACTAAAGGTTTGTGGCAACTCTGTTGAACAAACCTATCAGTGCCACTTTTCTGACATTTCTTCATTTCATGTCTCTGTCACATCTCGGTAATTCTGGCAATATTTCAAACTCATTATTATATTTGTGATGGTGCTCTGTGATCAGTGATCTTTGATGTTACTACTATGGCTTGCTAGGGCTTCCCTGGTAGCTCAGACGGTAAAGCGTCTGCTTATAATGCAGGAGACCCGGGTTCAATCCCTGGGTTGGGAAGATACCCTGGAGAAGGAAATGGCAACCCACTCCAGTACTCTTGTCTGGAAAATCCCATGGACGGAGGATCCTGGTAAACTGCAGTCCTTGGGGTCGAGAAGAGTCAGACACAACTGAGATGTTCCAAACTTTTTCATTATTATATTTGTGATGGTGCTCTGTGGTCAGTGATCTTTGATGTTACTACTATGACTTGCTGAAGGCTCAGGTGCTAGCTTTTTTTTTTTTTTTAGCAATAAAATAATTTTTAATTAAAGTATGTACATTTTTTAATATGTAATGCTACTTAAAAGACTGCACTTAATAAACTACATACAGTATAATATAAGCATCTTTTATATGCACTGGAAACAAACAAAAAAAAGGTGTGACTCACTGTTTGTGATATTTGCAGTATTGCAGTGGTCTGGAACCAAACCCACGGTGTCTCTTATGTATGCCTATACTGGATGGGGTTAATGGAAAGAATATTTACAAATCCTGCAATATTGGTTCTTTTTGTGAAACAGGTTTTACTTCACTCATCCAAGATGATATTTTCTTCTAATTCTCAAGACTTCCTGAGAAAAACTAGTTCTGCCAGAAATGAATGATTTTCATCATGAAGCAAACTTTTTTTTTCTACCATGATACTTTTTTTTTTTTTTTTAAGATTCTGGTGGTTTTCCCACAAACTTGACATTGCACTGAGGCCTTTTTTAAGGGGCAATTCATCTGTCTTCTTGTCTGCTTCCGTTTCCATAGGCAGTAGTATCTGCTTTTCTTATCCGCATGCATGCCCATTTTTAATATGACTGTGAAAGGAGTTAATTACCATGCTGGTTACTTTCTTCTAGTCTATCAACAAAGCAATGGAGAAGGACCACCAGGAATACAACATTGGCGTCCTAGACATCTATGGCTTTGAAATATTTCAGGTAAGACCAGCTTGAGTAAAGACAAAGAAGCTTTCTACCTGGCTTGAAAGAAATAATTCTAGGCAGTGAAAAAAAGAAAAATCATTGTGGCTCACTTTTGCCTTTTTGAGTTCTTCATGTACCTATACTAAATTAGTATCTCCTAAATATAAACTATGCTGTTTCTACTGATGCCGCCAACATTTCTGTTAAGCTTTCTCACTAAATCACTCAAGAAGTGACTTTAAAATGATTTTGCAGAAACAAGTACATAAAAGTAACACTTTGTCTTTTTCTTTTCTTCAGAAAAATGGCTTTGAACAGTTTTGTATCAATTTTGTTAATGAAAAATTACAGCAGATTTTTATTGAACTCACATTAAAGGCAGAACAGGTGAGTAGCTCCCTTCTTCTGTTTCTGATTTGTTTTGAAGGGTATAGATCTCTCTCTTTTGGTAATAGGTTCATATTATAGTTTTTTTATTAGAAAATGTACTTAATAGAGTCAGGCAGAAAAACCATATGCTGCTGTGACATTTTAGTCTGAAGTATAAACACCATCTGCTACATTTTCTTTCTCTGTAAGTAAATGATGCTGTGAAGTTGGACTTATGACTGGTTGTTTTTACTACTCTATGACTCATTGACCAAGTGGAAATGGAAACCTATTCCAACCCCAATTGCATATACTGTGTTCCAAAGGAAAACTTGGTTTTCTCAGATTTGCTCTGCTCCCAATCTAACATAAAAATAAATGTGTCTTTAACAAAGCTGATATTTAAATTCTGACTTGAGGTTACTTATCTTGTTTATACTTCCTACTGAAAGACCAGTACAAGTTCCCTTTTATTCTGGTGCCTACTGTTTTTTTATTTCTTAGATTGCTATAAGGTACCACCAACCAGATAGCTTAAAACAATAGATATTTTTTCCTCTCCCAGTCCAGGAGGCCAGAATTCAAACTCAAGATGTTGCTAGGGTAGCACTCTTTCCAAAGGCTATAGGGGAAATTCTTCCTTGCCTCTTGCTGCTCAAGGTGCTCTGGGCATTCCTTGCCTTTGGGCAGCATGCCTTCAGTCTCTGTGGCTTCATGTGTCCATTTTCTCTCTGTGTCCAAATCTCATTCTCTCTTCTCTTACAAAGACACCAGTCTTTGGATTTAGGGGTCACCCTAAATCCATGATAATTTCATTATGAGATTCTTAGCTAATTATATCTCCAGATATCCTATTTCCTGACATTTTGGGGTTCTAGATGGACACAAAATCTTGGGGGACACATTCAACCCACTGCACATATTTGAGGCTGTTTGAAGAATGTTTCTTCATGGAAGTGTTCATGTGCTTGCTTAGGAACACCAGTGATGAATAGTTTTCATAGAAAACTCTGCCCTGGAATTCTACCACTCCTCAGAGTAGCTAGAGCCAAACCCTAAGAGTGGACGTGGTAGAGACTGAGATGGGAGAAGGCAGAGGTTGAGTCACAGAGGAACTTTGTAGGGCACGGCCAAGACTTCAGAGTAAGAATGATGGGAAGCCACTGGAGGATTTTCAGTAGAATGTAATGCCATCTGATTTGTTTTTGACCAGTTGGCGTTGACTCTGTGCACCTAGACAGGGCAGGCTGAGGCAGGGGAAGACAAACAAGAGTAGATGTTTCAAAACCAGACTCCCGGGGAGACGAAGCAGGAATGGTGAGGTGTAGACAGTGATGGCTACAGTAGAGGTGGGGACATGGTGAGAGGGGATCAGATTTGGTATATATTTTGCAGAATGAGTCAGTGTGACTTGCTCTCAACATAATTAGCTGAGGAAAGAGGAGTCGCAGATGATTTTACCTTGATTGCAGCTTGAATAACAGGACCAGTGGGGAGACTGTTTACTGAATGGTAAGATGAGGAGGAGAGCAGTTGGTTAGAGACAGTGGAGGGATGTAGGGCCAGAGCACTGCTGAATGTGGTAGCTGTGAGAGGCCTGTTATCCCTCTGAGTGGAATTCCAGTATGTGAAAAAAAATGTGACTCTGGAACTCAGGGGGCCAGTCTAGACTAGAGAAACACTTTCAGGTGTCATAGCCTATAGGTATTATTTTAAGCCACGGAGTTGATTGGAATTACCTAGAGAGAAAAGGTTGAGAAAATAAGGCTGGGAGATTGAGCCCTGAGAGTCCCCCATCATATAAAGATCAGGGGGTGGAGGGGAGAGCCAGCACTAGATGCTAACAAAGCAAGATTGATGAGGAATGAGGGAAACCAGGAGAGTGTGATGGTGTTCATGATGTTTAATGAGCAACTGACCTGAATGAGGGGCCTTCCTTTTAAGTACCTAGATGCTAATCTGTACTTCTGTTCTATGTTAAGTTAAAGAGATTATTTCATAACTGGACCTATGGGTTAAGCCATTTTTAATTGCCATCTTCGTATGTCAAAAACAATTGTATGGAAGCAATTTTATATGGTTCTAACCAAACATAAAAATTACCAAGCAATGAAATTCTCTTTTCCTCTTCCTCTTAGAAAATATTAGTATTGCTAGTTTTTATGGGAGGGATCCAGGTTTTTCTTTCCTGATGATTTATGTGCCTGTGATATCCATCTGTGCTGAACTCTAGATGGTCTTCACTGAGTCATAATGAGAATTCCCGCTTTCTGTCCTATAGGAAGAATATGTGCAAGAAGGCATTAGATGGACACCCATCGATTACTTTAATAACAAAGTCGTATGTGACCTCATTGAGAACAAAGTTGTAAGTATCAGTCTGGTGTGTCTCTTCACTGTTCACAGGTTTACACTAAGTGAGTTTTTGTTCTCTCTGTCATTGTATTAGAATAGAGAGAGTGAGAACTCTGATTGAAGAGAGGTTTTTTGTTTGCTTATTTGGCTGTGCCTGGGTTTTGTTGTGGTATGTGGGATCGAGTTCCCTGACCAGGGATTGAACCCAGGCCCCCTTCACTGGGTGTGCGGAGTCAGCCACTGGACCACCAGGGAAATCCTCGATGCAGAGAGTTTTAGCAATTACATTTATTTTGCTTTTATGTATATGAGTGAAAACAGGGTTTTATTCTTACAGTTAATATATACATGTGTATATAAGCACATTATCAATTTGTGAATGGAAGTTGTTACTGAATTTTAAGAGGAGACAGTTATCACTTATGTTGATGGCATAGTGTATGAAGAGATACAAAATGGCCCTGCCTTCCAGACCATTTATACAACTTCTAAGACTTTAGCCCTAGAAATTATTCAAAAGAAAATAAAGGGGCATAGACAGATCTGTACAGTACTATTTTGTTTTGTTTTTTATAAAAGTCCCAAAGTGGCAATGGTAAAACCATTCATAGATAATTCAGTCCTTAAATAAATTATAGCATATAAGAACAGGGAAACATAGCCATCAAAATAATAAGTATAAAGACTGTGTAAAACAGGAGGATTATTTATAAACTAGTGCTATGCAGAAAAAGTGATATATGATAGAATGTGTCCAGTATGTATTATCCATGTCTATATGGATAACAAGCTGAAAACAAACATTAAGAAATGAATTAGGATCAAAGAAAAATGGCTTTCTTCAGAGTTTTAAAAATCAACTTAGTACAATAAAAGTGAGCAGATAATGATCTTTCTGTGTGTGACTTCGAATAGAACTTTGGGAAATTAAACTTTTCTTTTTGAAAATAGACTTCGTTCCATTGTTAGATCTAAGAGGTGGCTCCCATTTGGGATTACTAATAGCATCCTTCCTCAAAGGGAAAGACCGACTTCCAAGATGGTATCTTAAGTCTCGGGAGCTGTTTCCATGCTTAAGGAAAGTCCTAATGAACATGGTATGTTTTAGAACAGTCAGTGAATTGGGGCTTTGCTTTCTTGGTCCTATCAGAACCCTCCTGGGATCATGAGCATTCTGGATGATGTATGTGCCACGATGCACGCGGTGGGTGAGGGGGCGGACCAGACGCTGCTCCAGAAACTGCAGATGCAGATTGGGAACCATGAGCACTTCAACAGCTGGAACCAAGGCTTCATTATTCACCATTATGCTGGGAAGGTATGGCCAGGGAGCAGGGCTTCAACAAAGGGGAAGTTACCTGTATTAAGCCTTTGGGTATGTAATCTGTTTTCTCATGAGGCAACTGAAAAGTGTCCATATAGTTTTATCTGCCTCACTGTGTTTTATTGATCCATCATTCATTCATGCAACGTGGGGCTTATGAAATATTTGGAGAGACAAGCAAAAGATAGTATACACTGCTGTGTATTTTTTAACATGAATCACCCTTATATAATGTAAATATGAATCAGCATATATATTAACTGCTGAAGGAATGAGCTTTCGTCTTGCCTCTTATGCAAGCCTGCATTTTTTTACTTGCCCATCTTCCTTGGGAGTATAAATAAGGACCAGGGGTTTGTTCTTATAAAATGCATGAGTACTGGGTGTTACTGCATTACCAGGCTTTGCGTGGGTGCTGGTGATACACAGATAAGTAAACTGAGGTCATGATATTTGGAGACTTCACAGTACTGTGGAAATTCATTGGTCTCACTCTTCATCACGATTAATCTCTTGTTAACCAGGGAGGATCCTTGAACCTGAGGCTGTAGCTAAATTGATATAACTCTATCAAAAAGCCTCGGATGACATGGCCCATTGCAGTGGATTAGTGTGCACAGTTTCATTTTATTCCATCTTAGCTAAAATTTAGGGAAAGAATTCAGTGTATTATTTACACACCCATATATCTGTAGAAGAAGGGCTATGTAATTGTGAGAGCTGGGGGCCTAGTGATGTATCTTTTGGATCATGTATGCAATCAGCATCTCCAGGCCATCACCAGCTAAGTCATCTAGCAAGTAAAACATGCACAGCCTTAATGTGACATATCGGGATGAAAGCCCATTTGTTACATCTGAAAATATACATATTCCGTGAAAGAGCCATGCTGGCTTGGATGTTTTATTCAATGAGATATTTAAAAGATAAAATTTGATTTCTTTCCATTCTTGGTAAGGTGTCCTATGACATGGATGGCTTTTGTGAGCGGAACCGTGATGTGCTTTTTATGGATCTCATCGAGCTTATGCAAAGCAGTGAGCTGTAAGTGTGTTTACCTTATCTGACACAGAGGTTTGATCAGATTTTTAGTTTTAGGACAAACTTGCAATGTTTGACTGGTCAGCATTTTGCTTCCTTGTGCTGTTGGGTCGGAGTTATCATTAGACAATTTGACTTCTTAAAATAGTTATCCCCCCAATCTTAGTCTCTCCCTTATCCTTAATACTTCCCACCCTACATTCTAAGTTTCATCTACAAGCCCTTCAGGGTCTCCAGCTTCATCATGTTCAATGGTATTATCTAGAAGAAGTGCCCATCCTGGGACTGGGTTGGGATAGCCATGTAATCTACGAGTGGAATAGTCTGGTTCTGTGAAACTTTGCCCTTGGAATATCATCCTAAGAATTCTCAGTTGCTCAGTTTTTAAAAATGCTAATGGCTTAGCTCCACCCAAGTTAACATGAGTTGCTAAAGCACTTGAGAAGCGGCTCAAGAACTCAGGGAAGGACACTCAGAGATCCATTTTAAGTCCCCAGACCCTGACTAAGCTGTGGTCATAGAAGCAGTGGGAACACCACACCCCCGCTCCCCGCCCCCTGCAAGCTGCTGGAGCACTCAGGACCTGCTTTGCCATGTCCTTCCCTTTCCTGTTACCTGCAAAGGTCCCCATGGTCCTGGGTAATGGATGTCAGGCATCATTTACATGATCAAGCCTCTCTGTGCCAGGCAAATGCAATATTGCACAGTCTTCCAGTTTTTACAAGTTTCAGAGCTTCCTCCAAGTAATAGTGTCCTTTTAGTCTCTTACTTCAACTGTCATAATATCAGGGTTAACTGCTTTAATCAACAGCTGCAAACATGATTATTTTCTAGAAAGGGCCTGACTTCTATGAAAGCAAAATTGAGTTTCATTTTTGTCCACAGTTCAAATTTCTGCTCTGTTTAATCCCCTTCCCCTCCCGCCAGCCTCCACTTCTCCCCAGCCCGCATCTTCCCAGGCTTGTACTTCCTTGGCACTCACACCCCTCACTTCAGAGCTTTCTTCATTCAAAACATAAAAGTCTATTTGTTCTTAAAAGGTCAGGTAAACCACAAATCCTGGCTTGTGCGGTTTATGATAATCAGGTGCAGACATGCTTTCAGAGATTTTTTTTTTAATTATTAAAACTACTGCCAACTTCAAGAGCTCTTGATGCTTCCATCTAAAACTCGTGTCATGTAGACATGGTCTATTGTTTAGAAAACACATGTGCTGTAAAAATCTATAATTGTGTCTGGTGAGGTTTAAAGTAGATTATTACTGGGGAGACTTCCTGGAAAATTCATGATGAGACTTCCTGGGGAAAATTCATGATGCCCAGTAAGTCACTTGGGCTTCCCTGGTGGCTCAGATGGTAAAGAATCTGCATGCAATACAGGAGACCCGGGTTCAATCTCTGGGTCGGAAAGATCCCCTGGAGAAGGAAATGGCAGCCCACGCCAGTATTCTTGCCTGGAGAATTCCATGGACAGAGGAGCCTAGCAGGCTAACGTCCACAGGGTCGCAAAGAGTTGCACACAACTGAGCCACTAGCACTATTACTACTACTAATAAGTCACTTCTAGGAATTTACATGGATCACATTCATTCCATCAGTCAGTCAGTCAGCAAGTATTTATTGAGCACCTACTGTGTTCAAGGTAGAGGTTATGTTCCAGACACTGGGTCCACTACAGTGACTAAGACACTGCCCTTGCCCTGTGTCCTTTGAGGCAGGCATATCAACAGATGCAGCTCAGTTACACTTACTAACGAAGATGCATTCAGCCAGCATAGCATTAGTGAATTAGCTTCACTTAAAATTGCTCATACTCAAAAGCACAGTTCGTCAGTGTCTTTTGCTTGAAGGGAGGGATGGTAGAAAGAGTGGCCTATTGGCATCTAGTGGGCAAAGGCCACTGATACTGTGAAACATCCCATAATACGTAAAGCACCCCCACCCCCACCCCTGGGGTCCCAACACAGAATTATCCAATCCCAAGTATCCTTAGAACCAAGGTTGAGAAACCCTGCTTTAGAGCAAAGCAGAATCTGCATTGAATCTGGACAATTCATACACATCCCCGTGCTCTGGTCTATCTTGTTTAACTCGGCAAATTCACACTCAGCCCCCTCTGTTGTGTCCTGCTGCCAAGGTGTGTCTCAATAATAGTGGGTGGGAAAACATGAAAGGCAGAGTCTACAATTTTATTTTTCCAATTTTATTTTCCAAGATGCTTCTATCTTAGAATTCTCCTCTGTGTTCCTCTTGTCCACTGCTTTATTTTTCCTGAGTCTTTAACTGGATGGATTGTGCTTTGAGTCAGGTGGCCGCTCTGTAGTCAAGGTTCTATGCTTCTGGGTGACTCACTTCTCTATGGAAGAAGGTGTTCCAGCCCCCAAGGTACCTGCTGATTGCTAATCCATTGTCTCTCTTTTTTTCCAGACCTTTTATAAAGTCTTTATTTCCAGAAAATCTGCAAGCTGACAAGAAAGGCCGCCCAACTACTGCCGGAAGCAAAATAAAGGTTTGTTCTATTTGGGGAGATTTATGGATTCCTGTAAGAGGTAGGATTTTCTGGGACTCAGGAACCATAGCCCTGGGCCAGGCTAAGGTCAGTGAGATTCAACAGATTGGTTACAGAAGATGGCCAGAAGTGATGTTGCTGCTCGAGAAAGGGTTACAGGATACTAGCTGGATTTGAGTTGGCTGTACTAAAACCCCAAAGGGATATTAAGTACCGCGTAGCTTAATAGTCAGCAGATGATAATCAGCTACTTTCTAAGAGGAAATGGCTTTGTGCTGAATCTAGGAGAATTCACATTAATCTATCAGAAATTTTATGATCTAGAGCCATATTTTGGATTTTGGTGATGGTTTTCCACACCAGACCCCAAAACTCCGCCAAGTACTTTATACATACCTCAAATTCTACTGGGCCTTTTAAGGGGAATTTCTGCACTTTCCTCACTGGACCTCGCAGGCCCTTCCTTTTGTGAATTACAGGCACCTTGGCCCCACAGTATCTCAAAATCAGAGGAATTCTTAGTGTATCTTTTGTTCTTTTTTTTTTTTTTTGGCTGTGCCTTGCAGCATGCCTGATCTTAATTACAGACCAAGGATCAAACCCAGGCCCCCTGCATTGGGATCTTAGAGTCTTAATCACTGGACAACCAGGGAAGTTCTCTTACTGTTTCTTGGAAGCCTCTCGTGGGGTGTGCACTGAATTATCAGAGGCCTTGTGTGGTAAAATTGTCCCTAACAACACTCTGAACTTAAAGGTTGTGTTGAACACACTCCATCATGTAATTTTTTGTAAACCAGTCAGTAAACTTCTTCTTTTTTAATTATACCAGATGAAAACACTTTTAAAATTATATATTTATTTTTAACTTTTATTTTATATTAGGGTATAGTTGATTTACAATGTTGTTTTAATTTCGGGTGTACAGCAGAGTGATTCAGTTACACGTATCCCATATAGGTTATTGCAGAGTATTGAGTATTGATTATCTATTTTACATATAGTAGTGTGCATATTAAAAATGGTTTTTTAAAGAATCATACCAATAAAATACCACCCTGTCTTTATAATCAGTGGTATCATCAAGTGATTAACAGTAGGGACCTGGGGTTCATCATTAAGTGTTCAAATCTCTCACCACATAGATTGCCAAAAAATTACCTAAATTCTCAGTGCTTCTTTTGCCTTCTCTGTAAGGTAGAGATTTTAGTACCTAATCTCAGGAGGGATACTGTGGTAATTAATTTCATAATCCGTCTAAGGCACTCACTGCCTGAAACATAAGAAGCACAAAAGTGCATGTTCTCACGTTACATCTACTCCATCTGTCCCGTCCTTCTCTCCCGTGCTTCTTCATCTCTGGTTAATTCTCAGTGGACACTTGATGCGCCCATGCTGACTGCCCACCTGGACTGTCCTTCCCCCCACCAGCTATACAGCCAGATCCTACCTGCTCTTCTCACCCTTCTCGATAACCTGAGCTCTGTGGATATGGTGGTTGTTCCTGTCTGTTCTGTTCACTGGCTTTTTCTTCTCTGAACATTTCAAGAAAATGGAAGCCAGCCTCCCCAGCCTCTGAGGACACAAACACTGTAATGTCACAGCAATAAGACAATCCCATCCAGAGGAGCCTCAGGTTTTGTGGAGGAAGTCAGATGCAAGCTGGGTCTTGAGTTAGAGGGTAGAGTCCACTAGGGGATGAAGGACAATCCTGTTCAAGGAACTGGAGACATAGAATGTCCTGGGACGGAGTTTGGATGGAGTTCCCTGGGGCAGAGAGGAGATGCAGTTCTCACAAAGCCCCAGATGTTGACCTCTGTGCATGGCTCTGACTCATGCTATCACTTCAGGGTCCTGGAGGAGGATTCGCTTTAGGCTGGAAACTCTGGTCACAAGACTGTCACACATTCACATCCAAGGGGCCCAGATCATCAGGGCTGCAGTGACTCACTTTCAAGTGGTCTGGATTCTCAGTCCAGCTTATTTCCTATAAAAAGGAGGGCAGGAGCAGGGGCATTTTTCTCCTCCTCAGAAGACTTGAACCCTTTGCCTCCCTCTTATTCTTATGTAGTTGAATGCTCAGAGTTGCCCCCTTCCAGGCGTGCTCAGAATGTTCTGGATTGCTGTGGTTGGGGGAGTTAGCAAGCTTGTTGAGGGACACTGGACTCTACACATTCTCACCTCCAATGGTCCCTCCTTGGTGAACCATGTGGCCTCTGGCTGTCTGATGTTCTGCCTCCACATAGGAGTGAGTCTCCCTGTTTTATGTCTCCTAAGTCACCTCTTAGAGGTGTGTAGTTCTGGCCCAATCTCTTACATCTTTCATATCCTCAGTATTTTGCAGATGCTAAGCATCATCTTTTTAAAAAAATTTTTTATTAAAGTATAGTTGATGTACAATGTTGTGTTAGTTTCGGATGTACAGCAAAATGGTTGTTATACATATATATGTGTAACTTTTTTAGGTTCTCTTCCTTTATAGATCATGACAAAATATTGAGTATAGTTCCTTGTGCTATACTGGAGGTCCTTGTTGGTTATTTTATATATAGTAGCTACATTATCATCTTAATGATATCTCGGAGGTATAAGTGTTTAAAGGGATCCTGTATTCCTTAGAAGAAAAATTAATATTTCAAGGTAGCTTTAATATTGGGTATTTTACATATTCTAATTCTTTAAAATGTGAAAGTGTTCTGTAGAATTTAATTTATAGAATATTTGGTGAGAACTTCCATTATCTTTGTTTATAAAGCATATTCTTTATTTAATAACATGTGATTGTTGGGGCTTTCCTAAATTCTACATTGTCATGACTAAAAGGGACCAGTTTTGAAATTAGAACCAAAGGTTAATGCTATTGGGAGATAGAATGGAGCTCAGAGTCGGCAAAGTAGACTGGGCTGGTAGCTTTATCTAAGTGGGCCTGGCCTCTAAAGGAGCAGATGTGACAGGAGATGCAAGTGCCATGAGGTGATTGGACCAGTAAACATTAAACATATATTCCAGCCTGCACATTGAGATACTAGTAATATTCTAGTTCTGCTTAGTTTACAGATGGGAAACTGTGGTCCAAAGAAATTCAGTGATTTGTTAGACAGCTTGCAAAGAGCAGAGCCAGGATCCTAGTTCAGACTTGCCAACAATCTACATGGAGCGTAGAATGAGGAGCTGTCTCCCTAAGGAGTATCACCTTTGCTTACTGTTTGGTCTGCATATCTTGACAGCCACTTCTGCTCAGCAAGTAGCTTTGGTAGCTTTCTGTTCTAAGTCATGGGCTCTTCTTGTCTGGAGTCAGAGTAAATTCAAACTGTGGCTTCCCCACTACCTCGGGGGGCATCTATAGTTGACCCATAGCTAAGTACAGGATAATTGTGATGGTTAAGATAAATTATTTTTTGCTCAAATTAATCATCCCACAATCTAAAGGCTTCTGTCTAATCCTAACCCTCCCAGTTAATTCCTTTTGGTATTACAATAAATTATTCATTATCTTCCTTACGAAGGAGGAACGCATTGTGGTTAGGGAGAAAACTTGCTAGCTCACAGACTTGGGTTCAAGCCTCATTGCTGTTGCTTACTAATTGTGTTATCTCGAGCAGTACTTTATTTAAGGCCCCATTTTCTCATCTAAAAAAATGGGAATGATAATTGTGAGTCATAAATAAGAAAATCCATGTGTCTAGTCCATGAAGCATTTTCAGTACATTACTGTTTTGAGCTGGAAAGAACTGTGTCAAGTAGCATATAAACTTAAGTCAAACTTGCCCCTGTGTTTTCAACTTGCTAGGTTGAAAAGAGATGCTCTTAAATGCTTAGGACTAAGTAGTATGCCAAGTTATTCTTAAAAATAAGAGTTTGGAATTTAAAAAAAAATACAGTCTCTCATCAACAAGGAACTTAAGTCACTGTACATTTTCATCATGGAGCTTTGCTTTGCTCGTACAACCTCTGCACCTCTGCTCTGAATTCCAGGCCTTGCAAATAATGCCATATTCTGCATATCTAAAACGGAGAACTTTTGCTTTGAATGCACTGGAGTTTTTCTCAAGGGTTTCGGATTTCCCAAACCCTTGAAAATAGAAAAGTCCTAATTGAAAGAGGGTTGTCTACTGCAGGCAAGTCCCTTCTGCTGACTTGGTAATGGTTTTCTGGCTTTAGAGATCCTTTCCTCTATTTTCTTTTAGAGGTTTTCTCTCTTCACACTGATTTGCTTGGAATGAGAGTTTGTGCATGCCCCATTCTTGGATCCATGGGGTGTGCTCAGCTGTGGGGATAGAAATGCTGATGTGGGCTCTGATGTATTTTTCATTTGAGATACTCATGATTTGAAATATGTCATGAGCAATTTTAGCTTTATTCATGTGGCTTTTTCTGCTTGAACCCAGTTCCATCGTGGGTACCCAATGTGCAGGTAGTGAGGAATGATTTTACATCGAATATTTTAGTTTGTGAAGGAGTAAGTTTCCTGCTACACTGAAAGGGCTCCAAGTCAGCAAGTCTGTAAAAAGACATAGCTGAGGAAGAAGGTGGATGAAATGGCATAACAAAGGTTTATGAATTCTGAAATTTTTATGTGTCTCCCACCTTTTAATTGTGACTTTCCATCATTTTATTAAGATGATTCTTCATTGGTTGGATTGCCTGGAAAGAGTACAGGGGGTTCTAATGATTTATTCTTGCACATAATTTTGTGCACCACCTCTCCCTCCAAAGTTTATAAGAAAAATGTATTTTCAAAAGCCCTCAGTTGATATGAAATTAACTAAAGTTGTTAATAATTAGCATGCTTTCTTATTTCTCCAAAAATTATGTGTCTGGATATACTGGGTTTGGGGGATTCTTTTTTGCTTTTATTTTATTAACTATACTAAAAAGGCCTCATTGTTGTCAAAAATTTAATTTCAAACGCACTTGTGAGTGTTCAGATCACCATAACAGTCAGTAGAGCTTTGAGAAAGTATAGTAGCCCTGAGTTAAATCTAATGAACAAACTGTCATGAGGATGAATTTCTGGCTGTACATTTGCACACAAGTCTCCTTGGAAAGCTGATTTAGAGCAAGTTCCATGTTTCTAAATAATGTTATTCTTCCTTTCCAGAAACAAGCCAATGACCTTGTGAGCACCCTGATGAAATGTACACCTCACTACATTCGCTGTATCAAACCCAATGAAACCAAGAAGCCCAAAGACTGGGAGGAAAGCAGGTATGGCAAAGGCACAGGTGGAGGTTGAGCTCAGCTAACGTCAAGGGCAGCCTCAGCCTGTTTTCCGACTGCTCAAGTCAGGCCATCCGGCCTCTGCCCAAGGCAGGGGCAGTTTCAGTTGTCTTCAGATGTGTTTTATGTCTTTGTGTCTTGACTTCAGGAAGAAACCTATGTATATATCATTTTTCCCTCCTTGTTTTTTCCTGAAATGTTGGCAGTGCCCTTCAGTTCAGAATTAGCGATTTATAATGTTGATCTTGGCTGGTCTGGGGGCAAATGGAAAAAAGAAAGCAAACCCCAGCACAGCAGAGTCAGGATGGTTTTCAGATTAGTTTAGGCCCTGTGCAGACATGCTTAGTGCACTCGGCTCCTCGTCAGCACCCACAGGATGTGGCCTGGAATGCTGAGCTCAGGGTTGCAAGTGGGGCTCTGCAGAGCTGGTTAAAAACGATCTGTCGTTTAGTTGCTTATGTGGGCAGAGGGGCTGTAGGCTCTGTAATCCCCAAAGCATGGTGCTGATGAGCAGCGTGACTCTCTAGGAGGGAACCAGCCCAAGGGAGATGTGTGGCATATAAGCAGTGAGCCATATCCTCCCTGGCTTCTGAGGAGTCCTACATCACATTCCTCCTACACCTGCCATTTAGGGATGTGGCCTCTGCAGGATACAAGGGGGATGATTGAGTAGGAAAATGTTGATAATGACTGGAGAATATAGTTTTTGTATCCAGCTGGGGAAATTCCTCCTGTCTATAGGAACATAGGAAGCAGGGCTGAAGAGAGACCCTGTGAGCGACTTGGACTAGAGAGAGAAGTCCTACCACTGTCACCAGATGAAATGGACTTGAGTATACTGGTGTTCCTGTTCATACTAGAATTCATGCTGGAATGCCTTTCTTTTTTTCTTTTTTCTTTTCTCTCTTGGAAAAAAACATAGACTCTTCTAGGTATCAGCTGACTTAGTCAAGGTTAAACTCCAATAGGAAAACCAGGATGAAAATTCCTAGCTGCTCATCACTTCCCCCGAGTGACCTAGAGGGTTCACTTCCCATCTTCCCAGCAAGATCCTTCCAACCCATAGCAGACAGACAATGCTTGATCATTTCTAGGGACGAAAAGGTAAATAGGAAGGAAAACGCCCAGGTGCGAGCACTTGCTGTCTGCAAATCCTTCTTTGTATTTTCACACTTTGTGGTGCAGCCTAAGACTGTTTTCTCACCTTAAGGTGCTGCTGGGATGTGGCAGCCTTCTGTTTGGTTATCTCACAATTTTCTGAATAATCTCATCAATAAATGTGGATTCCTAAAACACCTTTTTTATAGAATTACTCAAATTTTTCAATTTAAAATAATATAAGACTCACTTACAATATTATCTGTAGATGACATTCATGCTCTGATGGGAAATCCATTCCTCTTGGGTCATCAGCTCACCTTTGGATACCTCTTGCCACCAGCTGGCACTGCAGCCCTTCTCTAAGTTGGTTTTATTCTATTTGGCCATAAGAATCATTCTTGGGACTCCTCTGTGTGATGGCTCTTCTGCTAGTTCAAGGCAGTTGCCATGTTTCCCTGGGATCTTCTCTTCCATGAACCCATCACTTAGCCACTCTAGCCATTCCTTTGAAGGAGCTGGATGTGGAATCCACCCTTGCCCCTTCTTGGTCATTCCTCTGGTATGCTTAAATAGCCCTCTGCTTTTCTGAACTGTGTCACAAACTTTCTCCTTTGATGTCAAGAGGATAACAGATGGGAAATGTCGGGTTTTTTGCCTTCTACACTAGTTCTCAAACTTGAGTATGCATCAGAATATCCTCTGGAAGGCTTATGACAGGGCCTCTGGGTCAGCGAGCCTGGGGTGGGGCCTGGGGGTGTGTATTCTTAACGAGCCCCCAAGTGATGTGAGTGATGATGATCTGGGCCTCATATTTGGAGAGCAGCTGATCTAGAGCTAAGTTCTAGCCTAGGATTTGGAAGAACTGTATCCTGTCCTGGTCTGTCACCAACTAGTTTGAGTGAAACACTTCATCTCCTGGGTCCTCAATCTCTTCCTCTTTAAATAAGAGGGTCAGGCCAGAGAGGGACTTCTTCAGTCAGACAGAATGAACACCCCCAGATCTGTTCCCCTGTGTCTGTTATCCTGCCTCTGCCTGTCTCTTCGTCACTCCTATACTCACTCACCCACACTTAGATCTCATGCACATATACACCGAGTAGAAGGGTGGTGTCGTCGGCAGCCTCAGAGTCTAGAAAGCAGAGGTATTGCTAAGAAGTGCTGTAGCCCTCCCTTCCTCCTACTTCAGACTCTCCAGCTTCCCTTCCCAGCAAACATAATCACGAATGAAAACATCTCACTCATCCTCAAATGCAGTACCTCGCTGGGACACCCTCCCCTGCCCCCTGCATTCGGCTCTGCTGAAAGTCACTCTAATGCGAATATCTTGCAGTAGCTCCTGGTTGGAAGTTCCTCAGTCGTGATGCCACCTTCTCAAAACCCAAACTGAGTCATTGCAATATCAAAGACTGGAGAAATGAAGACAGTGGTACATTTTATTCAGTAAATTTTCGTAGAATTTCTCCCAATGGTGTCCCCCTCGCCCACTATTTTTTTTTAATCACATCCCTTATTTGAATTTCAGTGAGGAACTTCCTAATGTACACTCTTGTAAACTGGTGTTACAAAGACTAAGGTATTCCTTAGTCGAATGTTGATTTGTGTTTCCAGTAGGATGGCATCCTGGGATCTGCCCTCAGGGCTTGGTTCGGGCTTACTGTGACAGATGGTTTCACTCTGGGGCTTTCCCGGTGGTTCAGTGGTAAAGAATCTGCCTGCATTGCAAGAGACATGGGAAATGTGGGTTTGATCCTTGGGTCGGGAAGATCCCCTGGGGAGGAAATGGCAACCCACTTATAGTTTCCTTGCCCAGAAAAGTCCCATGGACAGAGGAACCTTGTGGACTGTGATCTCTGGGGTCAAAAAGAGTCGGACAGGACTGAGCGCCTGAGCACTGATGGTTTCACTTCATCTGTGAGCATGAAACGTCAGGGTCCGTGGAAGGGCCGTGTGCTTCACTGGCAGGGATCACACGGTCAGTTAAGTTCTCGGTGGACAGGATTACTCATTCCACAAGTTTATGGCATGTAGTTTGTTTCTCTTTTCCTGTTGGAAATGTGTCTTCATTTGGCTTTGGGCAAGCTGCCTGCCCTGGATTCTGAATTACTGCCCTGGTGAAGTTCTCTGGCCCTAACCTCGGGTTAATGGCTGAGGACAGTCTTGAAAGAGGACTCCTTCTGAAAGGAGGAGACGGCTTACACAGGAGAACAGCAGGTATTGCCAGCCTGGCTGATGGAGGCTGTGATGGTGTGATGGTGCTGAGGAGTGATGGTGCTCCAGGAATATGTAAAAAACATGGAATTTTAAACATAACATAATATTAATACTTTGAACCGGTTGTCCGGTTGACAAAAATTTCCTAATGACAGAAGTTATAATGAATGGAGCAATGCTTTCACATGAAGCATATTGTTTTCCATATGATTCATGAGGAAGGAACATTTCTTCTTGAGTCAATGGGTAATGCATTCCCTGCCTCAAAGCTTGGGGTGTAGCCAGTATTTGTGAAAAAGACTTTAAATGAGCAGATATCTCTAATTGACGGCATCATGTGTAATTTCCTTAATGGAGAAAAGGTCGATGGTGAGTTTGGGATTTGGAGGATGGGAAAAAGGAAAGTTATTTTCCTGACTCAGGTTTCTACCGCTTTGGTTTACCAGATATGTGTGAATATTATAAACCTGAGGACCAGCTCAGACTCACATTATTATAATTTATGATCTTTTTTAGTATGCTTCCCTGGAGTGTGAAACTGGGAGTTTGTGGGTATAGTGGATAGGGGAACAGGGTGAAAAGATTACCCAGTCCCATCCTGGCTCCCTCTCTCCTTTATAGGGTGAAGCATCAAGTGGAATACCTGGGCCTCAAAGAGAACATTCGAGTGAGGAGAGCTGGTTACGCCTATCGGCGTGTCTTCCAAAAGTTCCTGCAGAGGTAAGACTGGTGACTTGGGACTCTTTTATGTTTTAAGCAGGCTTATTGAGATATAATTCACATATCATACAATTCACCCATTTGAAGTATACAGTTCAGTGGCTTTTAATAAATTCATAGAGTTGTACATCCATCACCACAGTTAATTTAGGAATATTTTCATCACCTCCAAAAGAAATCCCACTTTCCTAGTATTCCCCACCTCACCCATGGCCCTAAGCCGACACTTTTTTCTATCCCTATAAATTTACCTATTTTGGGTATTGCTTATAAATAGAACCATATATGTCTTTTGTTTCTGGCTTCTTTCACGTCACAGAATGTTTGCAAGGGTCATCCTATAGCTTGTACCTGCACTTCGTTCCTACTCATTGACAAATAATATTCCCTTGCACCAATGTTCTAAGATGCCACATTTTATTTGTTCATCCATCAACTGATAGACATCACAGTTGGCTCTTATGAATAACAAATAATGTGTCTATCAGTGTTCACGTACACATTTTTATGTAGGCATATGTTTTTATTTCTCTTGGGTACATACACAAAAATGGAATTGCCAGGTCAAATGGTAATTATGTTTAACTTTTTTGATGAACTGCTAGATGTTTTACAAAGCAGCTATACCATTTTACATCCTCACCAACTGTGTTTGAGGGTTCCAGTTTATGTGCATCCTTGTCAATATTTGTTATTATCTGACTTTTTGGTTCTAGCCATCCTGGTGGGTATGAAGTAGTTTCTCACTGTGGTTTTGATTTGTACATCCCTAATGGAAAATAATGTTGAGTATCTTTCCATGTGCTTATTAGCTGTTAGAGAAATATCTGTGTAGTCCTTTGATCACTTTTAAATTACTTGTCTTTTTAGTATTAAGTTATAATAATTACTTTTAGCATCATTTATTGTGAATAAATCATTTTAAAGCATCATTTATTTTAAGTAAAATCGAGTATTTTGTCTGTTTAGACTGATACATCAGTTCAGAAATTCATGGTAATTGTGACATTGGGAGGGACTGACATTTAACTGACTGAGCAAATTAATAGTGTGGAGACAATTTCATGAAAATATTTAATAAGCTTAAAGTATTTAACCTCAAATTTTTTGTCCAAACATAAACTGATTTTTATATTTCTATTAAAGTACATTTGGCAGGATCTGTGCTAAATTTTTCTTACTTTGTGTTGTCTTTAAAAAGGATAAAATTTAGTGTTCTTAAAATACTACATGATTCTAACTTCTCTAGTGACTCTAAATTAGTGGAGTTTCACTGATGTTCTACATTTATTTAATTTCCTTCTTGAAAGAAGGAAGCTATATTTACTGTTTTAATCAGAAAATAATTATGTCTTCCTGGCATATGATACAGGAGCAAGATATAAGAACATTTTTTTAAATTCAGATTTTATGTAACAAAGAGGTTTAGGAAGGAGAAGAACTTAATTGCCATCTTTGAAATCCAGTGTTTCTGATAGAGTAGCTTTCGCTCTGAGGATGTTGTTTCTTCTGCCGGGAGATAGGGATGGCTGATCTACTGCTTATCAGTGTGGGTCATCATCTGTGGAAGGTCATTGATGTGGAAGATCAGGAGAGGCTTGGCCAAAGGGTGGATCAGTCCGTACAGTGAAACTTCATTGATTTTCGTCCCTACCCATCCAAGATAGCTGATGATTTTGGAGGCTGATTAAACTAGGAATAAAATTCACCATCAGGGCTCTCTGAATTAAAAGGCCCACTACACCTCTAGTGTAAGCACGGCAATATGAAAAGAAGTCTTTAGGAAGGTTAGAAAACAAATTTGGAGTGCTCTTGCATCACTGTAGCAGCATCCATTCGCTGACAGACAAATGGGATGTTAATTATGAAAGACTTTGCTCTTCTTTAAACAGATGGCCGGCACTAGCTTAGGACAGGATTTCTCAGCCTCAGCTATTGACATTTTGGTTTGGGTGAGTCCTCGTGTGAGGCTGTCTTGGACATTGTAGGATGTTTAGCAACCTTCTTGGCTTCTGCGTACTAGATGCCAATAGTACCAATCCCACCCTTATTTTCCCCCAGTTGTGACACCCAAAACTGTATCTGGACATTGCCCCATGTGGCCTGGTAAGACAAAGTCAGTTGAGAGAACCGTGGCTTAGATTATCATTAAGGTTTTTCACAGAACTGCATTTCTTTGAAAATACCCTTTTTTAATTAAGAGGGAAGAAAGTTAAATACAGAAAATAATGAACAAGAAGTATTTCCTCCGACTTGCCTTAATTTCAAAAGGCTTGCCCTCAACAATTCCAAAATGTTTCTAGTTTTATTCTCCTTCAATATTTTTTCTATACTTAAAAACTTTTTCTTTTTTATTTAAAGTTCTTTTTTAAGATTAATTCATTTTTTGGCTGCCCTGGGTCTCTGTTGCTTTGCACAGGCTTTCTCTAGTTTCAGAGAGTGGGGGCCACTCTTCATTGTGGTGCATGGGCTTCTCATAGCAGTTGTGTTTTTGCAGAACACAGAAGAATCCAGGTGTGCAGGCCTTGGTAGCTGTAACACACGGGCTCAGTAGTTGTGATTCACCAGTTCTAGGGCACAGGCTCAGTAGTTGTGTTACATGGTCATAGTTGCTCCGCAGCGTGTGGGATCTTCCCGGAACAGGGATTGAACCCATGTCCCCTGCATTGGCAGGCAGTTTCTTTACCACTGAGCCACCAGGGAAGCTCCTGTACTTAAAAACTCTTTATTCGATATTTTCAGATTCTCTCTAATTGGCATTGCTATTGAAAACGGATCAGATTTTTTTTTTTTTAATTTTACCTTATTTTTTTTTTTTCTTTTGAGAAACCAATTCCTTCCTTCCATGTTATTTAAATACAAACTGACAGACCTGACTTCCGTAAGCAGTACTGTGAACTCCGCCACTCTGCGGGGAGCAGGAAGTCCACACTGTTGGCCAAAGTGTCTGGGGTGCCCTGAGCAGGCTGCGTTATTTGTTTGCAGTAGCTCCTTAAATGAGCTGTGAAATGACCTGGTTCTAATATCCGGACCTCTCTCAAGTACTAGCTGCGTGGCTACATGACTGGTACTTTCCAGAGTCAGCGTTTAGTGCATATCTGTTACGCCCTTCGTGTCGAGGGCCTTTTTCAGAAATGGTTTTATCCTTAAATGCCTTCCTGCTTAGCTCTCCTGCTGTGGGCCTTTCCTTTTAGAAGAGACAGACAGGCCTCCCTGTCTTACACAAAGCAGACTCTTTTGATGTTGTCATATTTTTGTTTTTTGTTTTGATTTGAAAGTACTGGGAGGATAATACAAAGTTCAGAAAGAAAATTTGTTTTTCAGTATAAAGTATGTGTTTAGCCTCCTACTCAAAAATGGCTACAAGGCCATATATCTGTCAGTGGTCAAGGAATATTTTTCCAGAGACAGTGCTGTTTTCCGTAAGGTGTATGAGTCTGGGATTGTAACAGGATTTGTCCAGAGTCTGTCAGTGACTTTCTCATCCTGTGATCCACTGTGAGTAATTGAATCAGTTTATACTTTTATTATCTCAAGCACGGAGTGGTAGCGAGTGTCCTACTGGCTCCCAGGACTTTTTAGTGTCCTTGGGGGTCAGACACATCCTTAAATCCAAGTGCCAGAAGCTGGAGGTCACAAGTTTGGGCTGGCTTTCCTCTGAGGAGGAACCATTAGATTGGTCATCTGGGCAATTACAAGAAGCCTTGCAGGACTTTCCTGGTGGTGCATTGGTTAAGAATCCACCTGCCAGTGCAGGGGGCACAAGTTCGATCCCTGGTTTAGGAAGATCCCACATGCCTCAGAGCAACCAAACGTGTGGGCCATAGCTACTGAGCCCATGCTTTAGAGCCCCTGCGTCACAACTACACAAGCCCGTTCACCCTAGAGCCTGTGTTCCCCAACTAGAGAAGTCACCACAATGAGAAGCCTGCACACCTTACCTAGAGAGTATCCCCTACTTGCTGCAACCAGAGAAAGCTTGTGAGCAGCAACAAAAACCTAGCACAACCAAAAATACATTAAAAAAAATTGTTTAAAGGAGCCTTGCAGACTAGGGGCAAGGAAGGGAATTCTAGGCAGCGACAACAGCCAGTGCAAAGGCCTTAGGATAAAATATTGTTCTTAAACTAAAAACACTTGATGAAAGGAGTGTAAGTTATTATGCTCATCTCTGCAAATTTTTTTTTTTCATCTCTGCAAAATTATCATAAGCACCTATTAGGCAGCATCCCATTGCCTTATGAACCCATTCCCACCAGTATGTCCTGGAGAAACAGGAGTGAACTGGGTGTACTTACATAGTGAGAGAATGTTGTACTAGAATTATGCTCTGGTCTCTCCAGTGAAGTACAAAAGAAAGTGAGGAGAATGCTGCCAGTCTTCCTAAAAGCAAAGGGAACCACCACAAGTGGTCCATGGTCAAAGGGACAGGCAATTCCCATGTCTTATCCAGACCCAAACTCTTATAGGTCTTGTCTGGAAAAAGGAGAAGAAAAAGTCTGGAAACCAAGTTCCTTTCTATTAAAAAAAGAGAGAGAGAAATACAGTATTATATTAATAGGGGATTGATGTGAATTACAAAGAGATACCTATTTGTAGTTGCACAATAAAAATACTTTGGTTTATTATTTTGACTGGATTAAATCAAGCCAAGCAAAATGGCACTCTTAGAAGAAACGTGTCACCTTGGTCTGGTCTTTCCTTTTACATCCATGCGCTGCATGAACTTTCTCCTTCCTCCCTTTAGATTTCGGATATATTACCACTTCTTCACCAGTGAGATCCCCCAGTAGCATCTCTGCTGTCAGTCATTTCTATGAGGCTTAATTGGTGTAGCCACCTTTATTATGCCACGTATGAAATGTACTTGTGCTAATATCTGGCTTCAGGTAGACATTTTCATTTTTAAGCTTTCTATCTCTAATTAGTGAAGAGGAGGATTTGCTTCTTGAGGAAATTTATATTATCAGGCAGAACGTGGATATTTAGGAGGAGCAGAGAGGGCCGCTAGAATCGCCTTGGTCCCAGCTGGCTGGCTCTAAGTGTGTGATGTGCCTGCTTGTGCCCTCTTAGAGAGCCTGGATCCTGAAGGCAGAGCCTCTCTCCTTGCCAAGGTTCCCTTCTCCCTTTGATAGCATTAGTGAGCCTACTCCTCGTAGCAGCTTCTGAGAACAGAGGAGGATGGGGGCTTCTTTAGCGGCCTGGGGCCCATTCATTGCTTGTCTTCTGGATGTGCCTGCACATAGAACACACCCTCCAATTTCTCACCCATCCTATCCTCTAATTTCTCCTCCCTCCCTCCTTCCTTCTCTTCCTTCCTTCCACCTCAAGTCTTTGGTACCTTTTGTATCTGACATTCTGTAAGAGGCTTCTGTCTCCCCTATTAGGTTAGCCTCTTAATAATTGGGCTTCCCTCATAGCTCAGTGGGTAAATAATCTGCCTGCAATGCGGGAGACCCCGGTTCGATTCCTGGGTCGGGAAGATCCGCTGGAGAAAGGAAAGGCTACCCACTCCAGTATTCTTGCCTGGAGAATTCCATGGACTGTATGGGGACCACGGGGTAGCAAAGAGTCAGACATGACTGAGCGACTTTCACTTTCACTTACATAATTATGATGTTTCTAACATAGACAAATGTAGTAGGCTGTATCATCTGTAAAGGAAAGGTTTACATGTATACCAATCCATGTCTTGTATGTACTGCCATGATGAAAGAAACAATCTGGGGTTCAAATCTCAGCTCTGACATCTGCTAGCTGAGTAGCCTTGAGTAGTTCTCTATTTTCCTCTCTTTCCTGTTTTGCACAATGGGAAGACCAGCTGACAGAGGTTGCTATAGAAATAAAGAAATCAAGTGCACCAATACGGAGAAGGCAATGGCAGCCCACTCCAGTACTCTTGCCTGGAAAATCCCATGGACAGAGAAGCCTGGTAGGCTGCAGTCCATGGGTCTCGAAGAGTCGGACACAACTAAGCGACTTCACTTTCACTTTTCACTTTCATCCATTGGAGAAGGAAATGGCAACCCACTCCAGTGTTCTTACCTGGAGAATCCCAGGGATGGTGGAGCCTGGTTGGCTGCCATCTATGGGATCCCACAGAGTTGGAGACAACTGAAGTGACTCAGCAGCAGCAACTGCACCAAGAACAACACCTGATGCAGAGAGCACGTTTTAGTTACAACAGGTGACTCTTTCCTGCCGTGTTCCTGGCATTGTATCAGGTGTCAGATGTGCAGGGTGAGCCCTACAGATATGACACCCCCTCATGGAGCTCCTATCCCCATGGGGGTGACATAAATTACCTGAATAGGTACAGACATGACTATCGTTACAAACTGATATATACTCTGAAGGCAAAATATTATTTTCTATGAGAGAAAATAGCAAAGGGGACAGTTTTTGCTTGGGTAATCCAAAAAGGTTTCTATGGAAGCGTCGTTGAAGGGGAGGACCCTCCCCGCCACACCCCCAACCCCTGGGTAGGAGCCAGCCCCCAAGGGGTTTGGAGACCAGCACATCTGGCAGAGCGAATAGCGTGGGCAAAGGTTCTGAAGAGGGCAAGTGTGCGGGAAGAGAAGGCCATCCTCCCAGGAGCGGAGCGAGCCAGAGGAGAGCAGAGGTGAGACTGGAGAGTAGCTGAGGACCAGTCACCAGGGCTCCTGACTCAAGATGCAGAGAACTCCACAGATGAAAGTTGATCCATCGTAATCATAATAGCTGCTTATGGGGAGCTTCATAAAACTCCACGTTGATTGTTAAGTGCTCCCAAGAAATCAAGGGAAATCAGTGTTGAGAAAAGACCATTTGATTTTGCCAGAAGAGTGTCGTTGGTGACCTTCAGCGATGCTATTTTTAGGCAGTGGTAGAAGGAAAAGCAGATTTTCCTCAGGGCGTTAGCATGGAAACGGCTGGAGACGGGAAAGAGTAGGCGGCGGCTCTGAAATGGGCATACCAGACCCAGTGGGTTTTTGCAGTTGTCAAGGTCTCTGCCTGAGTCTTGGAAGGGAGGCGAGGGGATGGCTAGGACTCAGCAGCACTAGGTGCCTTTGGGGGGCGTCCAGGCCAAACCTGACCCTTCTCTCCCTTGTTTCCCTCACAGGTATGCCATCCTGACCAAAGCCACCTGGCCCTCATGGAAGGGGGATGAGAAACAAGGCGTCCTGCACTTGCTGCAGTCCGTCAACATGGACAGTGACCAGTTCCAGCTAGGGAAGAGCAAAGTGTTCATCAAAGCCCCCGAGTCTGTGAGTTTTCTCTGGGCCACGCCTCTCCCTCGGCCCCCTCTCAGCCCCCTCCCCACCATGTGCCTGGTCTCTTTACTTCATTCCGTGGTTCATGTCTCAAGTGTCAGTTCCTCAAAGAAGGCTTTCCGCTGCTCCGAGTCTGGGTGTGGTTCATGCCCCACAGCTTAGCACGTTCAGAGTCCTCAGCTTGGATACAAAGCTATCATCACAAGGGCTTTTCTTTTCATACTTTTCTTCTCTCCCATCCTAGATGGTCAATGCCTTGAGGTCAGGGTCTGTTTTGAGTGCCTTTGTGTACGCAGAGCTTCGTGAGGAAAGTGGCTCAGAAGAGGTGCCCAATAGTTATTTTTTAGTGTGAAGTAGTGTCTCAGCTACTAGGTACTTCTTTGCCCAGAAAGGAGGCTTGGGTTAACCTACGTTCTCACCTCGGTGACACCCAACAAGTCATGTCACATAAAGGTGGAGCAGAGCCTGGGTGTGAGAATTCCCAGGACTGTACCTTGAAGACCGTGAGGAAATGCAGAAAGGACTTAGAGGAGACCAATAGATAGAAGGAGAAACCTCCAATCTTAAAGGATACAGATGTTTACCAGTAAGGAACTCAAAACACATAGGTTTTACAATTTACAAATTTATCAGACCTCCACAGATTAATTTAGTGGAACCTCTTAATCTTTCCTGTGGAGCATGTGGTCACCCGAGCCGAATGATTGTTCACAGGAAGTTCCCAGTTTGAGCAGGAACCCAACACAGCCCCTCAGTCCTTCTGCCCCATAGCTCTGGGGCTGTGGAATGAAGATAATTCAAGATTAAAAATGAAGACAATTTTTAAGCTGGAGAAACTGCTGGAACTAACTGGGGGTGGGTATCACCATTTCTTGAGGTTCCTGGAATAATCATAAGACTATTTTCAAGAGTCTATGGAGACAGACTTCCCTGGTGGTTCAGTCGTTAGGGCTCTTTGCTTCCACTGCAGTGGGGCACAGTTCCGATCCTGGTTGGGGAGCTAAGATCCTACATGCCATGTGGTGTAGCCAAAAAAAAAAAAGAGTTGGTGATGAATTTGGGAAAAGTAGTCACCATATCACCAAGAGAGCCTGCAGTGTTGGTCATAATGGAAACCCTTGACTCGAGGCAAATTCTGGTCCTGCCATGCGTTTTCTCCACTAGAAGGGGCCCCATCACTGCTGTTCTGCCTGCCTCCCAGAATCAGCCTGAGACCAGAATTGCTAATGGTCGTAACTGAATGACTTTATAGGCTGTTAAATAAGTAAGTGGCACACATCGATAGAACCCGTATGAAAAGTTTGTGGTAGCATTTTCCACTTTGAGTTATTTGGAGCTTCATAGCAATTTCATTTCCAAATATAAAATGAAAATGTTGTGTCATACACCATTAAGCAACCCACAGAACAGTTCCTGTTCTTTCTAAAACAGGATGGAGTGATTTATCGGTACAATGGAGAACTCTTCTGTTTTATACCCGCTCCTCTGTTTTTACTTTTTCGACTTGCTGAATTTTCACAGAAACAGCCTCAATGTTTTTCATGCTTTTTTTTTTTCCTGATTCAGTTGAGCTTTGAGATTTTACTTTCAAATCAAGATTTATTTTTGGTTTTTCTTTTCCGTGTCTTCCTCCCAGTTGCTTTTTTACCTTCACTTGACTCTTCCTCTCCCCCATTTTTTCACACACACACCCATCATTACTACTCTCTCCCCTCCCCACATTACTCATCCATCCATATCTAGCCCTGACATTGCAAACTCTTTTACAAAAATTGTTCTTTAGGGACTTCCCTGGCAGTCCATTGGTTAAGACCCCACACGTCCACTGCAGGGGGCATGGGTTCCATCCCTGGTTGGGGAACTAAGATCCCACATGCCACAAGAAAGCCATGGCCCAAAAAAAGTTTTTAAAAATCTACCCTGTGATTTTGCTTTAACTTTTTTTTTTTTTCTTTTACTTATTTTTTATTTTTATTTTATTTTTTTTTTAATTTTTTTATTTTTTTATTTTTTTCATTTATTTTTATTAGTTGGAGGCTAATTACTTTACATCATTGCAGTGGTTTTTGTCATACATTGAAATGAATTAGCCATGGATTTACATGTATTCCCCATCCCGGTCCCCCCTCCCACCTCCCTCTCCACCCGATCCCTCTGGGTCTTCCCAGTGCACCAGGCCCGAGCACTTGTCTCATGCACCCAACCTGGGCTGGTGATCTGTTTCACCCTAGATAATATACATGTTTCGATGCTGTTCTCTTGAAACATCCCACCCTCGCCTTCTCCCAGAGTCCACAAGTCTGTTCTATACATCGGAGTCTCTTTTTCTGTTTTGCATATAGGGTTGCTTTAACTTTTATACTAAATGTGCTGAATTTATAAAATAACCCATTTGCTTTAAGAACCCACATTAGACATCAGGCATCAGAGAGTTTGGTTTGGTTTTGTTACATGTGTCCATGCTTTTTGCTTTTCTCTCTTCTTCTCCCTCTCTCTCTCTTCCTTCTTGAACCTCCCTGATTTCTAACCCCTATGGCTTTTGGAAGGAACCTAAAAACCAACTCATCTTTGAACTAGTCTATAGGAATTTGGGAATTGGTTGATTCTTCATCCTTTCTGAGTCACAAGTATATTTTCTATGATGCTTTCAAAATAGCTCTGGGAAAGAAGAAGAAAATAAGACTTACTCAGAAACCCAACACAGAAGATAAGAAAACACCAATGGATAATCTTCCAGGCAACTGATGGGCTCAGATTTTTAAACATTCTGTCCAGTTGTTGAAAAAATCTTTTGTTCTTGAAATATGCACCTTTGTTTATTGTATATGGCACTGACGGCTGTGGAATGAAGTGCCCCTCTCTTGATATGTTCAGTTTGAGGTGGGTCTGTGAGAAGGAGAAGTTGAATGTCAGGAAGAGAGATCACTGGCTCCAGGGTATAGACCCAAATAAACCGAGACAACAAATCAAGCCCAGCTGTCTTCAAACCAAATTTGCTTGTTTAGTTCTGGAATGTTTTTACAGTGACATCCGTCATCATTACTTTGGGTTTTTATTGGTCTGTTTTTTTATTCCTAGAGAGTCATGTAAACTACTTCCTAGGTGAATAGGAGTTTCCCACCATTTTATGAGTTGATTAGATGCAGATTCTGTGTCCAGGTGAGGAGGAGCCTGGCAGAACCTGAAAGACCTCGGTTCACTTTCCAGCTCCACCCAATCTTAGTACTGATGTTCTCCTCTGTTAGTTGGAGATAATGCAAATAAGTGGTACATGTAGTTGTTGAGTGGTTGAATGAAGTAATGTATGTAAAGCATCTAGAATGATTCCTGATCCATTGAGGGTACTCAGTGTATTACAGCTGTTTGCTGTCATCTTCGTTACTCTAGAGCTTTGGTGAGTGGTGTACAACAGTATTCATCATTAAGATGACTTGAGTGTCAGCCCCTTTTGGTGAATCCAAGTCCTTATTAACACATCATAAGCCCAGCTCCAATCACTGGTTATTATCCTCCGCCCAATGACTCCCTATAGATTTCTGTGAGGCAAGAAGTCTGTACTTTCATGGAACCAAAAGTTGGGCAGCCCTCTTTCCACAGCAGCATGCGCTTTCTGCAAAAGCTGGAAAATTCTAGTAAGAGGCTGTATGCAACACTAAAGCTGCCTCCATGAGCTCATTTGATCTAGCCACTTAATATCCTCTTTGGATCAAGGTGGGAAATAAATGGGTGTGTGTTGAATCACTCACTTGATTCTTAGAGAGGTTAGGAACAAGGTTTGGCAGACACCATCATTAAGGTCCAACTGAATATACTCAGATCCAACTATTTTCCACTATTTTTTAATAAAAGAATATGTATAAGGACTTCGGTGGTGGTACAGTGGACGAGAATCCATTGCCAGTGCAGGGGATGTGGGTTTGATCCCTGGTCCAGGAAGATTCCACATGCTGTTGAGCAACTAAGCCCATGTGCCACATCCACTGACCCTGTGTGCCTGGAGCCCACGCTCCACAACAGGAGAAGCACGTGCAGCACCAGAGCAGCCCCACTCAACACAGCTAGAGACAGCCTGCATGCAGTGACGAAGACCCAGTGCAACCAAAAATGAGTTCGTTTTTAAACGAACTTTTAAAGTTTGTGTAAATATCTTGTCTCTGTATATTTATATATAAGTTATAGTGACCATAAGCAACACATTTTTTTCACCTTTGTTTATGAGTCTGAGAAGCTGCTTCCCATTGTGTCCTTGACTAAACTGAGTGTCCTTGGACTATCCAAGAATAATGTTCAGGTCCTGTGAACTGACTCACACTTGTCTTCTCCCTATTCACAGCTCTTCCTTCTAGAAGAAATGAGGGAGCGAAAGTACGATGGGTATGCTCGAGTGATACAGAAATCATGGAGGAAATTCGTGGCCCGGAAGAAATATGTCCAAATGAGAGAAGAGGGTATTATAGTCATTTTATTGCATTCATGTACCAAATCTCAAGAATATTTTTGAACTTAGATGAAGTTACAGGTTCACTGTACTTTGCACATACTGTGCGTTGCAGCCTTGCATTCATTTAGAGTCTCTGTGTCTTTCCACACGGAGCATTTTCCTCTTTGTAGGGGACTGATCCTTCTCCCTTCTCTACCCTTTTGGGAACTGCAGCCTCCAACCTTCTGTTGAACAAGAAGGAGAGACGGAGAAACAGTATTAATAGGAACTTCATCGGGGACTACATTGGGATGGAGGAGCACCCAGAACTCCAGCAGTTTGTGGGCAAGAGGGAGAAGATAGATTTTGCAGACACAGTGACCAAGTACGACAGGAGGTTCAAGGTACGTTCTGACTGCCCAGCCCTGGGAGTCACCAAACAGATTCCTTAGTTCTAAAAATAACTCATCATTTTGCTTTTGGGATTACCAAAACAGATCATGTCCATTGTAGATAAATGTGGAAAATGCAGATAAGCCAAGAGAAAAATAGCCACCTATACCCAGAAACAATCACTGTTAACATTTTGTGTGCATCCTTTAGAATGTTTTTATGCAGACATACATTTGTATATTTAGTTTTACAAAACTGAAATCTACCTTACACGCTGGTTTGTGTTCTGCATTGGTTTTTTCCTAAAATACACCAGGGAGAACTTTCTGTATTAATAGATATGTCAGTATAAATTGTTTTGTTTAGCTGCATAGTATCCCATTCAACAGTTGCTTCGCTATTATTTTGAGCCAGTTTCTTATTAATCTATTCTCATGACTTTTTTTTTTACCATCATAAATAAAAGGATACTCAAGAGCATTCTTGCACATGGCTTTGTGCATTTGTCTACTTATGCTTTTAGAGTAAATTGTTAGGAGTAGACTCATTGGATCAAAAGATTGAGAATATAAGTGAAGTGTTCTTATCCATTTTCCCTGGGCAAATGACTACGCGGGGCTTTGACAGAGCCACTGGAGGACAGCTGGTTTTTTTTTTAACCTCTTTCTTTAGACATTGTCTTTTTTCTTTTGCCTAATAAAATTTTGACCCTAATAGTGAAATCTGAAGCCATAATAGATTATGGGCCATTAAGAGCTTTTTATGTGAGTTATTTCTTGTTTGGTTTTTGGTCAGGGATAAAAATAAAGAACAAACGATATTAATTTCACAAGAAGGATGATGCTGTTTTGCCAAAACCAAATCACTCCTTACAAACTGAATATGGTGCCAGCTGCTCTGGCGGCAGGTTTGAATACAAACATGAATGTTAAGTCTCAGTATTATTTGGATATAACACAGTACACTTATATTAGATTTTTAAGGATTACCATTGAAATGAAAATGTATCACTTTTAAAAAGTAATGGGCTTTTTTTAAAAAAACGTAATGGACTCACAAAAATTACATATGCAGAGTCCCTTGAGGGATCCCTGTATGAGGAACATCCTGCAGCAGATCACTGGTAGGGCCATCGTGTGTGCTGGTTTGCCCTGATCCCTTAGGTGGATCCATATGAGTCTACCATTTTTATAAGTTAAAGAGAGTCAAGTATCAGCAGTTTTGTATATGTCAACCTAACAATCAGAAGCACCATGTTTACCATCCAATCGTAGTGAAAGTTCACTGCCTGGAGCAGCTTCCTTTCACCTGCTCACCAGTGCCCTGTGTGTAGACTACTGCCACTCTGACACTTTTCTAAAACTCCTATCCTTACAGAGCGTAAAGCGAGACTTGCTTCTGACTCCAAAATGCTTGTACTTGATTGGACGAGAAAAGGTCAAACAAGGTCCTGACAAAGGCCTGGTGAAGGAAGTGCTGAAGCGGAGGATCGAGATGGAGAGGATCTTGTCTGTGTCCCTCAGGTGAGTGGCCAAGGGTGGGGACGGGGAGCCCCACCTCTGCACGACACTGCCATCTGCTATTCCAAACACAGCCTGGAGAGAGGCCCCGTCGGGCTCCCCAGTTGTAAAAGTGATGATGAAGAGAACCCAGTTTTCTCTTCTCCCCTAAGAAGGGCTGATCTTCTTGAGTCTCGGGGAGTACTGCAATCACAAGAAAAAGTTACCTTCTGATCTGCTCCTCTAGTCAGAGGATACTCAGATCCTTTGCTCCCATAAAATCTGAAGGGAAAAAAATGTAGTCTGTGAAACAAACAGGGTATAATTGCTGTTATTGAAGTGGGGGGGGTCACCATTCTTGAGTCCTGCCCCCAAGCCCACCTTGCCCCTGATGAAGACCTAACCCATTTCACCAGGAAAAGCCTGAGCAGAGGTGGCCACTAGGTCATCAGTGCTGCTTTTTAGTTTGCTGTGACCTTGGATTGTCCTAGATAGGAAGTATCTTTGGACACCTTGAGGCCCCTCTGCCTGTTCATTCCCCCGGGGGTGAGGGGGAATACAAATTGGTCTCCATAATCTGTAACCCTGGAGGCATTGCCAAATGCTCCCTTCAACTCCAGGTTCACAGGGAGGCATCCTTGCTCTTCTCGTCAGCACTCAGGTTTATGAAATGAGTGCAACTGTACAATAATTTGAACATTCTTTGGCATTGCCTTTCTTTGGAATTGGAATGAAGGACCTTTTCCAGTCCTGTGACCACAGGACCTTTTGCAGTCCCATGGCCACTGTTGAGTTTTCCAAATTTGCGGGCATAATGAGTGCGGCACTTTGGCAGCATCATCTTTTAAGATTTGAAATAGCTCAGCTGGAATTCCATCACTTTCACTAGCTTTGTTTGTAGTAATCTTCTTAAGGCCCACTTGACTTTACACTCCAGGATGTCCACACCATCATGGTTATCTGGGTCATTAAGAGCTTTTTTGTAGAGTTCTTCTGTGTATTCTTGCCACCTTTTCTTGATCTCTTCTGCTTCTATTAGGTCCATACCTTTTCTTTCCTTTATTGCAAAAAGGCTGACTGGTTGTCTGAGGAGGTCTTACAAATAGCTGAGAAAAGAACAGAAACAAAAGGCAAAGAACAAAGGGAAAGATACACCCAACTGAATGCAGAGTTTCAGAGAATAGCAAAGAGAGATAAGAAAGCCTTCTTAAGGGAACAATGTAAAGAAATAGCGGAAAACAATAGAAGGGGAAAGACTAGAGGTCTCTAAGAAAATTGGAGATACCAAGGGAACATTTCATGCAACGATGGGCACAATAAAGGACAAAATGGCAAGGACCTGCATATGCTGAGACTTCCCCAAATCCTCCCAGCTAATATCTCCTAGACTAAGTTCCCTGTGATGAGAGGAAATCATCAGGCCACAGAAGGCAAAGAAAAGAGGAAGAAAGGCCCCTTTGAGGCTTCCTCCTTGAGTCATGTTCTGGGGCCCTTCTGAGGATGCCTCAGCTTCTGCCAGGGCAAGCGTCGGGCTGCCATTGTATTAAAATATTAGAGATGTTCTGGTTACCTGTGGATGCGTCTTCTTGGAATTAGGACTCCTCTCCACTCTTATTCCACACACAAGACAAAATCGCTGCTCTTAGACAAAAAGAGGGTTTTTGTGCAGACAGGAAACTGATTTACCAGGCTAGAAAACCCTGGCTCTGGTGCAATCATCCAAAGCAGATTTTAAGTTGTGTCTGTTCTTGCCTATGTGACTGTGGTTTCTGATTTTGTCTGTTCCCAATTTTCCTGATAAAGAGCCAGGCAGGGCAGTGACGTTAAGTGTTTAAAACATTTCAGTTCAAGATGTGGTAGAACTGGTAAGCAGATGTGTTCAGCAGCAGCTCTTTGCAGCCGCGCCTCGGGTGGTTCTCAGTGCCATGGATTTCACAGACTAGAAACTGTCCAGTTTCCCAAAGGTCTTTCTGATCATTCAGCTCGCTGACCAGGCCATGACCTACCAACCACACTCTCCTGGTTACTGGGCCCTGAGACTGCCCTTGCTGGTCCAAGGAATCCAAGTGGAAGCTGCTTTTTTTACCTTGCATGGGAACAAGCTATACCCGGGCTAAGTTGAGTGAGCTAAAACGTGCTGGGCACACTTGACAGTTGAAAGCCCAGGAGTCACAGCTCTGGGGCACAACTGCTCACTACTCTGAGAATGAGTGTTGTTCTGGCTGTTACTACTGCCTAGGTGTGTCTGCAGCCCTCAGAGGCCTTAAGCAGCGCTTAATCATTGTATATCTACATGTGTATCTAGCACTTTGACGCTCATTGCCTTGTTGATCAAGTCTCTGAGGCTTATCAAGGTGTGGGATATTCACACTCAAGTTTTTTTCCCCTCTGTCTTTTCCTTTTTTCACAGCCTCTGGGGATACTGTGTCTCACAGTAAGATCAGATTCTTTTTCCACTTTCTTTTTAGTATTCATGGTCTGGATGTTTGCTTCCTTGTGGCCTTTCCTTGTTGGAGGATGTAATAAAATGAGGTACTTAACCTGAAATTTGTTCTGACTCTAGGAGGGAAAAAGAGCCCCAGTCATTTAAAGGTGTTATCTCTGTGAATTTCAGTCACTGAGCCCCAGTTTGCCAGGATTAATAACCATTGCCTCATTTCTTTCAGCCATAGGGATAGGCTAGTAATCTAAACCAAGTTAGGAGTGCAATCAGATAGAGTGTGCAGAATCAAAACATAGAAAAGAAATTGATTGTGGTACCAGGAGAACGTATCTGTGTGGATATGTGTACATGTGCATTCTCAATATATTTCAGTGTTAGTATAGAGAAAAATTTGAACAGTTGTCTTGCACTTTGGGAAGAGAGTCATAATGTGTGTTTTGAAGACTTTATGGGACTTACTTCTTGACTGTTAGCTAGAATGATCACCTGATGGCTTCTTCTAATTCAGACTATCAAAGTGTCCTACAAACCTGATCTTTCAGCCTGTCCCTAACTCTTATAACTACTGGGGAGGCCAAATTGGCTCATAGCTGCCTATTCAAACCAACCAACCATACAAGAAAATATATAGAGGACAATTTGGTGAAATGTAAAATAACTAAATATTTTAACAAGTGTGTTATGAGTGCTAGTCGCTCAGTTGTGTCCAACTCTTTGTGACCATGGATTGTAGCCTGCCAGGCTCCTCTGTCCATGGAATTCTGCAGGCAAGAATACTGGAGTGGGTTGTCATTCCCTTCTCCAGAGGATCTTCCCGACCCAGGGATTGAACTCAGTTCTCCTGCATTGAGGGCGACTTCTTTACTGTCAGAGCCACCAGGGAACCTGGGAAATATTTTATATGAAGGGTTTATTGTTTATTCCTTTAGGTGTGATAATGATATTGTGGTTATTTTTATTTAAGAAGGCTTTATCTTTTAGAGATAGACACTGAAATGTTTAATGATAAAATAATATGATTATACTCTGCTGTAAAATAACCTAGCCGGTGTGTGGAAGTGGGGGGAATGAGACTGCAGATGAATTTGACTGTCTGTGGATTGATCATTGTTGAAACCTCCTGACATGTGGTGGTTCATTCCGCTACTCTACTTTTTGATATACTTGAAATTTTCCATAATAAAAAGTGTTCCCTAATACTTTAATAGACATCATATTTTTAGAAGTCTCTACCCTTTTTAAGTATACTGAAATATATCTAGTTGAATTATAATTGAAATTTTTTAAAAACTTTTTTTAACTTACAAGGAAAAAAATAGATTAGGCCCAATAGCTCAGAGAGCTGTGATGACAACAGTCACTCACAGGGAAAGGAAAACTCCTTATCTAAATACAAGACCGAACACTGACAACCTACATTTCTGCCTTCATGGAGACATGGTGAGACTATCAGGAGGTAACAACACTCCTGATGTCTGATGCCTTTGGGGCATCATATTTCCAAGCCTTTGGGGAGACTGCTGATAGAAGGCCAAGCATCGTTTCTGAAAGCTCCTTCAAGAGCTGCTTCTTGTCCAAATACCGAACTGACCTGTGTGTGTGCGCTTAGTCACTTAGTTGTATCTGACTCTGCAACCCTTTGGACTATAGCCCACCAGGCTCCTCAGTCCATGGGATTCTTCAGGCAAGAATACTGGAATGGGTTGCCATGCCCTCTTTCAGAGGCTCTGCCCAACCCAGGGATCAAACCCAGGTCTCCTGTGTCTCCTGCATTGCAGGTGGATTCTTTATCCACTGAGCCATCAAGGAACTGACCTCATCTTGCTCTTATTTGAAAAACTCAATTTCCTGGAAGAGTGGTCAGAAGGTACAATGGCCTGTATTCTTTGCCTTCCTGTTGTAGCTGATGAGGTTTGAAACATAAAATCTCCTATATGGAGCTCTCTGATGAAGCTTCTAGTAGTCCTTCTGTTTCCTGTTGCTGACCCCCCCAAGGCCTAAGATCAAAAGCCTTGGGGCTGCCTGCCTGGGTCAGTAGATTTTCTAGTACTTGTACATACTAGGAAAGTCAGCCTAGAAGGAGTGGGCTTTAGACAGAGGCCCCAGCCCTCCTGGGCATGACATTCTTGCCTAAAAATGGTTTGTTGCCTAATTGCCCTAACCCTCTTGCAATAAGAACAGCCTACTTCACTAGGGACCTCCTCCGCTGACCTGATGCTTTCCTGAAATCTTGACTTGCTATGGATTTTGAGCTCTGGGAACCTGGAAGTTTTCTGCATTTTTGGACTGACCACCAGCCTTGTGTTCAACTCTGAATTTGCAGTGGGTGAGACATAGTCCCTGCCTCAAGGTGTTCCACCCCATTCTGGAAGGAGGAGCCATGCCCTGTGTAAACATGGGGCACACAGCTTACAGGTGTGGAGAGACTGGTTTCCAGGATATTCCTGAGACACAAAAGGTGGGAGTGAGCCTTTCCCCCTGTGGTTGGGTGAAGCTCTTCCCAGGAGGCCTGACATGACGTGTACCTGCACTTTCTCAGAGAAATTAATTAGGCTCCCAAACTGGTGTTACTGGTATCTATGGGTGGTAGAGTTCTGGATAAGGTTTGTTTCCTTCTGCTTTTAATTTTAACTACCTTTGTAGTTCTGTTTACTGAACGGAGCATTGGGGACTTCCTTGGTAGCCCAGGGTTAAAAATCTGCCTTGTAAGGCAAGCAACTCTGGTTTGATCCCTGGTCAGGGAACTAAGATCCCACATGCAAATAAGCCCGTTTGCCACAACAAGAGAAGCCCCTGCATGCTGCAACTAGAGAAAGCCTGAGTACTGCAGCAAAGACCCAGCACAGCCAAAACAAAGAAATATAATGCTTTTTTTAAAGGAGCATCTATTTCATAAGCAGGAAACATTTCTTTTTGAGACTTTAAATAAAAGCAGGGGCCATCCTAGCTGAAATTGCCTTTTCAGCTTAAAAAAGAAAAGAAAAAACTCCTTTAAAACTTTCCCCAGGGGTTTTGTAACTAACATTTTTATGAAGAAGATCTTGGTTAAGGGAGTAAACCAAGCACTTCTAGTGTGGTCAGCAGTACAACAATAAGCCACAAAAACAGAGGAGAAAGAGCCAATCAGAAGACAAACCAGGGACTAGTTAAGCTTCTTTCAACATAGGCTCCTGCGTCAGACATCTGTAAGGAATTGCAGCTTGAGCATGTGAAGAAGACGGAGGTGAAGTCCAAAAATAAGTCTGATTTCTTAGGGGGAAGAAAACAAGGTGTAAAAGCTTTGCTTTCAGACCTAGGGACCTGGGCTGAGGCAAGGGGAATGAGCTGAAGCTCTGGCCTGGGTGAAGAGAATTTCCTGACTTTTTGACTCCAGTCACCAAAGGGAGGAGCTCTTGAATTTGATGGTTGAAGTCCTAATGTCCAAACAGTCTCTTCTCATTTCCAGACTCATGCTGATAATTGACCTTGATGTTTTGGCCTGCTGGCTTTATGTCTTCATGATCATGAAACTCCTAATAGTCTGCACACATTAAACCACTCAAGGTTTCTTGTGTTGAACTCCTTTAATAATCAGTCGAATAATTGCTGTCCCGCCTAAAGGCCAGCCAGGCAAATGGACATGCCCAGACATGAACCCAGCAGCTGAAACAGGAGTCTCACTCCACCCCATACACCAAAGAGTGGTGCCTGTTGTTCAGCTCTTCCCCCTCTGTATACTCTCCCTCCTGACACAGAGGTCGTCTTAGCCCTGTGTTAGGATGCTGGGACTTCATTTCATTAATTCCAAATGTCTTGGGAGAGCTGTTCTGAGCAGCTTTTTACACAAGTGCCTTTTGGAGTTAGAATTGCTGACGTTGAAATAATTAAAACAATTCCAGAGTTTTCATCTACCTAGAAACAGGAAGATGATAGGAGCGTTGTGGCCACACCTTCTGAGATATACTGTTCTCAGAAAAGATTCCAATTCCAAAGTTGGGTAAGTTTGTGAACAAGGAAGTAGAATGGAAACTGTAAGCTGTCCTGTAATACCCATTCTCTCCTCTCCGTGATAATAGCTGACAGCCCAACCAAAGACTACATTTCCCAGCTTTCCTTCAGCTAGGTGTGACCATGTGACATGCTAGCCAATGAGGTGGAAGCAGAAATGACGCGTATGACTTTCTGATCATACCTGTAAGGAGTAGACGCCTGGCTCCCAGGCACTGTAGAACCTTCATGTTGGCCCTGATTGCTTTTTCTTACGCTCCTGAGTAACAGAGATAAAAACACTAGGTTCTTTAAAAACCACGGGCTGTGAGGGTCTTCAATCACAACAACACCTGCATCCCAACTGTTACAAGAGTGTGCAGATGGTGTGGTTGTGACATAGGGATATTTGGAAACACTGTTGAGGTAATAGTAATGACAACACACTCCAGCCAAACGGCCATTACCTGCCCCAACATGCCTGTAAAGTGTTCTGACTTCACATCCAGGGAGAGCTGTTTGGTCTGCTGGTTTGCAGTAAACAGGATGTGAAGGGCCAGGCTCCTTCCCTGGTGATGGTATCTTGCTGCTAGTCTGCCCCATTCCGCCGCTGAAGTTATGTATGCTGTCATACTCTGCCTTTGCAGTCCAACTGTGTTGTGGTCCTGCCTTATACATTTTTTCTCCTGTGGACTAAAAGCTCTTGTAGAAAGACTGAGGGGCTGAGGTTTTAGAGTGAGGATCTGGGGCTGTAGCTTGATCAGGTACAAGTCATTCGCTCCCTGCCTTGGAACAGAGAGAGAAGGTTCCTCACAAGCCCAGGATCATCCGCAAAGGCTCTCTCTACCCGAAGAAGACTTCTGGTCCCACGGACTGCCCGTCCCCAGCTTGTCAAATTCCTATGACTGAACAGAGAGACCACAGGAGTTGTATTTTGTGTGCTTAGTCAGTCAGTTGTGTCCGACTCTTTGCAACCCCATGGACTGTCGCCCGCCAGACTCCTCTGTCCATGGGAATTCTCCAGGGATCAAATCCAGGTCTCCCGCATTGCAGGCGGATTCTTCACCGTCAGAGCCACCAGGGAAGCCCAGTTGCTGTTTCGTTGGATCAGACTCCATGGAAGGAGGCTCCCCGCTCTCAGATTCTTTTTACCCCAGTCCTCCGTACTTGCCTCACTGTCTGGTCATGTCAGTGCAATAATCCTACTGATGCCCTGGTCCTGGCTTGTGCAAGACATAGGAACAGCTCCTGTGTTACTGATAGAACCATGTCATTGGTATTTCCTGCATTTGGAGAGATTAAAATTTAATCTCTGTGGTCAGCTTACTGAAGTGAATTCACTTACTTTGTTTTTAGTACCTGGAAAAACACTTATTGTCCCTAATGAGACGTCATTCATAGGAGGGTTGTCTTAGATATATGACAGTGTTGCTAGGAGGTAATGGTAGGGTTGTATATAATGAAGCCTTTGGGGTGGCGGCCCCTTTCAGCTGAGCAATTGAGCAATACATCTAGCAACTAAGGAAGACAAATTATCAAGTGTATATGTGTTCTGATTTCCACAAACTCTGGCTGGGCCTGGAGAGGAAATATCTAATCAGTCCCCTTAGCACTAAGCATATTCCCTGGAACTGGCTTAGCCCCTCAGCCTCTCTCTTCCATTCTTCCTGCAGCTCCTAACATCCACTGTGGGTATGAATTTCCCCAACAGCCCTACCCTGTCCAAACAAGGAGCTCCCACAAAGGCATGTCTTTTTCCTGACCCACCCTGAAGGTGGGGATTATGCTTGCTGTATGTACACCTGTCTCTCATTTCTCTGTAGTTTGATGTGTTTGTGCATTTAGCAGGCAGTATAAGCAGAGCACCGAATACCTGAAGGCTCCCGACTCGTGTCTATGAAGCGTAGGACTTTGGCTTCTCTTTTGATAATGGAGCTTACAGTTCTTCAAGTTAGGATGTATTACAGTAGCTGCAACCATATCCTAAATTCTGCTGACTTGGGACTTAGGGGGAATTGTCCCTTTTTTGCCACATTCATAACATTCTGGATTTTTATGATTTTAAGAACATAGAAGTTGAATTTGAAAATGGATTTTTTAAAATACAGACTAAATTGTCCTTAATTTCCTGATTTTAAAAGTCATGTGAGAGAATATTTTGATTATGCTGTTGGTGGACTATAAACCTCTTTTAAAAGTAGATCTTAGGGACTTTATTTTTGTACTTCATTGTTGTTGTGTTTTGTTTTAAAGATTTTCAGTAGCAGAGAAAGATGGTGGAAATTTAGTGCTATATTACAGGATTAAAAAAAGAGTAAAAAAAAATCATGGGATCAACAAAACTGTAACTTTCCTTGAGTCTTTATAATCTCTTTGCAGTACTATGCAGGATGACCTTTTTATTCTTCATGAGCAAGAATATGACAGTTTGCTTGAATCTGTCTTCAAAACTGAGTTCTTGAGCCTCTTAGCAAAGCGTTACGAGGAAAAAACCCAGAAGCAACTACCTCTGAAGTTTAGCAACACGTAAGTTGGGATCTGAGGCTTTGATCTCACTGCCGGGGTCCACTGCGGAGTAGGGGTGGGGTCTGACTGGCTTGGGTGGCTCCAAGGAGCTCTGGGGCCTTGACTTCTGTGGACTCATAGGGCCTGCAGAGGACAGTCGGGGTGGTTGCCATGGACTTTGGAAAGGTTACTTTTGCATTTTTGTGAGATGACTTCATTGAATGGTATATTTTATCCCTTGGGCAAAGGTCAGCAACGTGAGGCCAAAAAAGGCAGATTTTTATATCTTACCAATGCAGGAATATTTTATTTCGCAGAGCAGGTAGAAGTAGTGTAAGGCTGAAGCAGAAGAAAGTGATTGGGGCTTAAGTCCCCAAGATGAGTGCATGATACAGCCTGCAGGTGGGGCATTTGGAGATTGGGGGCTGTGGACAGCCAGTGTCTTATGTCTGGGCTCACCTTCATTCACTTTAATAACATCTTCTCATGTACCAGACATTGGCAGACTATTGAATTTCTAGTCTCATGTTTGCCAAGTGATTTATTTGACTTTTTGATCTTGTTCAATTTCCCCATCCATAAAACGAGGATACTCTCCACTCTTCCTACTCACAAGCAAGGGGCCAAAGTAAAGCCTTCATTCCAGGAGTGGGGGAACTTAGCATAACTCATCCTGCTGTGGTTGAAGTGAGATAGACACTAGAAGTAGAATGAAGTCATTACTGCATTTTCAGACAACAATTTGGCCATGACACCAGGGGCAGTTGTTTTTGTCTGAGAGTTGGTGATAAGGGAGTAACTCAAAAAAAGTAAGAATATGTATAAGCCCAAGCTGCTAAAAAGAATAGGCAGCTACTGGCAATTATGATTTTTCTGTCTTACAAAATAAAAATACAAGGTTAAAAAAGCAGAATATGGAATTGCATTATGTAGGCATATGGGCAACATAGGAAATAAAAAAAAACTGGCTGGGGAGTTTTGCATTTGTGAGTAAACTTCCCTTTTATTTGGGTATTGGTTGCTAGTGTCTTTTCCTCCCTGGGATGGGGATGAAGGTGGAGGAATAGAACTTAATTAAATAGTAGCCACATTCTCAGCCTAGATGGGAGGGGAGTCTGGGGAAGAATGGATACATTGTCATCCACCTGAAACTATTACAACATTGTCAATCAGCTATACCCCAATACAAAAAAAAAAAAGTTAAAAAAATAAACTTAGAAATACTAGCTGCATTCTGTGCAGAGGAGACATGAGCTCTCTGGCATCTGTCAGTCCTCCTCACACAGAGACCTGGGCAATCAGAGAGGACACGGTGATGCAGCACAGCAGGTGTGGCCTGCAGGGCGGCCTTTCCTTCTGTCCCCACCTGTCTCCACTGGACAGTGCTCCGATCCTGGGGCACCTCCCTTACCAGCTATTATCCCCCAGGGACTGGGCCCCCAAATGCTCTGCCTCTGGTTGGTGGCTCAGCCCGCACCGTGCCCGTCCACTGGGCCCCAGACTGGTTCCCATGATCCAGTCTTGTCTTGTTTTTACAGCACAACTCCAGGCTGGGGTCTGTGAACACCACTTTCTCCCTGTTTCTCTCCCTTCCTTTGTTAATCCCAACATATACGCTTGTCACAGGCTTGAAATCAAGTTGAAAAAGGAGAACTGGGGTCCCTGGAGTGCAGGGGGCTCCCGGCAAGTACAGTTCCACCAAGGCTTTGGTGATCTGGCCATCCTCAAGCCCAGCAACAAAGTGCTGCAGGTCAGCATCGGACCCGGGCTGCCCAGAAACTCCCGTAAGTGTGCATGGGCCCCACGGGTGGGGCCGCTGCTGGGCTGCTGGGCTCCCACTCACCCTCTCTCCAAGCTAAACTCCTTTCCCACCAAATGCTCCTAACACTGCACAGATCTGCAGGCCAAACAGCTAGTACACTGACTGCTTCCTGTGGCTGGGGTTTTCTTCTGATTGAAACATTTCAGACTAAACCAACATCGAGGCAAATGGGCAAGTTAAACTTTTCTGAATGACCTAGTAGTTATGAGTCGTATTCCTGGCACTACAGTGTTAATTATGTTTAAAACAAATCTATTTCTATTTCCCAGCCCTTTCCAGTCCAGTCATGTCAACAATACAAACTTCATCCTTTGTGTCAGTGTTAAAGAAACTGACCACACTTACCAACTCCTTACAGGGGTTCACTCTGTTGCAGAGCATCACGTTTAATATCTCCCTCCTTCACTTTAAATTGTTTCATTAGGAGACACGCACGCACTAACTCACACTCTGTAGTTTGACTCCTTTTAGTGGCCTATGATCCTTTTTTTTTTTTAATATTTATTTATTTGGCTGCACCAGGTCTTAGTTGCAGCGTGTGGGACCTCGTTCCCTGACCAGGGATCCAACCTAGGCCACCTGCATTGGGAGCACAGAGTTTTAGCCACTGGACCACCAGGGAAGTCCCTGGCCTATAGATTCTTATTCTATACTTTTTCTGTAAGTGATACTTATAAAATTATATTTAAGATGGACATTATAGAGTAATCATAGATGCCATGTACTCATATAATGTGTCTATCTTTACAGAATACAGTCCACATGTGTGATGAAGAGTATGCCAAGTATAAAACAGGTCTTTATGGCTTCTGTCCACCAGGTGCATGCTGGCATGTACTCATGTAACTCACTAATACAGTACAGAAAAGTAGCCACTCAGAAAATGGTGTATGTCTGAGTATCAGTTAGTACTTGCAGAAGACAGCACATTTAGGTGGGATTTTTGAAGATACTTTTACATAAAAGGACTCTTTACAGAGATGTGGGCAGGATGAAGGGAACAGGGTTGGGGCTCAGGCAGAGAAAACCAAGATACTACTATTACCCTAAGGATATAGGTAGAGGAGACCCCAGAAATCTAAAAAAGAACATGTCTCAGAATCACTTTGCTATATGTCAGAAACAACACAATAATGTAAATTAAATACTTAAATTTGAAGGAAAAAAAAAAAGTACCCCAACTCCTGTCCCCTCTGGCACCCCGGTCTCCTGCCACTGCTTCCCAAATGGCCAAACCCAACTAGAGTGCAGAAGCCTAGTAGTCCACTGGCTCAGACCCCCGGGCACAGAGCCGGGCCAAGGAGAGCCATGGGTAACCAGCAGGATGCGTCAGAGCCCTGCTCCGTGGGCCTCGAAGTGAGACCTTGTCTAATGCGGTGTTCTATCGTGTCTCCATGGGACGGGGGGCACGCGGGGGACACCCACACCTGGCCTCCTCCCCTCACCCCAGGACCTGATACCCGGCTCCTCTGCTCTGCGCTGTTCATGCCTGACCACTTCCTGCTCTTCTCTTTACTAGGAATTTCCTCTGCACCCCTGTTCCAGCTGGCTTAATCGTATGCTCCTTCATGTCCCACTCAAGACCTTGTTGACTGTTGTCCTTTCCAACACATGGTCTCTGCAGAGGTCTCGTCTGGCCCCCAGTCGCCCTGCCTCCCCGGGCCTCATTCTGGCCCCACGGGGCTCCATTTAGCACTGCTTGTTTTCTGATGCTTGCACATCTGTGTCAAGGGTACCAGTCTGCTGCTCCCCTTCAGCATCTGTGTGTTTCCTTCAAAGACTATAGAACACAAACTCTGGTGAGGAAGGCTCTGGACGACAGCAGAGGTGGGGGAGCTGTGACGTCCACTCCAGGGACTGTGGTGTGCAGCTAACGCGGCCTCAGCTTCTGTGCTCTGTGGTTGGATCATGAGTGCAAACATTCATTTGACCCATCTGTCTCTTCACAAAGTCAACAACAATAGAAGCCCCTTTGTATGCTTATTAATAATTCTTTGTAAAGCCATTGTCTCTGACATTTCAAATCTCTCCTGCCAACGTGTCCTCTGGCCCCTCCCATCCAGTAAAGCTGCCAGGACAACATGCCCCTCACATAGCCTGTCTACCCTGCAATCAGTCTCCTGCAGATCCCACGGAGACCTGCCTTCCAAACTTCTCAAAAGTTTTCCACCAGCAAAAACCCATCAGGAGCCATAAAAACCAGCCAGTAGCACTGATCTGAACTTTATCTTGCTCGCCTATTTCAGGTCCTACTCGAAGGAATACGATTCAAAGCAGAGATTATTCCAGCAGGACTCACAATGCCAACTACCCAATGAGAGCTGCCCCTCTGCCACCAGGTGAGCCGAGCATGCGCCATAGGCGAGACCCAGATGTGTAAAACGCATCAAGGAAGAAACGCATTAGCCCACAGATGCCAACATATTAGCCAGCCGTGAGCCGTTTCAGTGCCAGATGTCCTCCTCCCAACATGATGGCCCTACCTGTGACCCTAAAATTCATGGTACTTGTGCATGAACCAGTGAGACCACACTATAGCTGAGTTAGTGATTTGCATTTCATTACCTGGAAGTATTACTTCCTTAGGAAGGGCTTCCTACATCAGTAAGAGGAAGAAGAGGTTGCTGCCCATGGCAACCAGAATGTCATCAGTTTTTAAGATGTAGGATGCTGCCTTAATGGAAACTGGAATTTGCAGGTATAACCCCACCATCACTACCCAGCTCCAGCCAAACGCTGACAGTGCTTTTGCATCTAGTTAACAGCTGAATGAAGAAATAAAAAGTCTTTATTCTTAGTCAGATAGGAGCTAGGAGATTGGCTCCAAAAAATAAAGTAACATCTGAAAGAATTGCAAAATTGATACCAAAAAATTTTTAGATCTTATGTTACATTTTTCTCATTGTTTAACTGATAAACATATAGCATGCAAGTCAAAATCCAAACCCAAATAAATGTAAGAGGTTTTGCCCTAAAAAATCTGTTTAGTATGGGAAGAGTACTCTCCAAATTCACAAGTGTTTTTCCATCACTCACAATTCAGTTAATAAGAAACTGCCTCCAGAATGTTTGATGTTAATAAGTTTAGGGTTGTAGGTCTTAAAAGGGTCATCTTTGGACCACACTTGACTCAGATCGTGCCAAACAAGGCAATCTATTTGTAGCAGTATCCAAAATAAGCAGTAAGAAGCATTTCTTTTGTCTCCTGCCCTGAAATCTCATCGTTGCATGCTAAAGTATGGGCAATGGTGCCTATCGGTAAGCCAATTCTCATCTCTCTTGGAATCCCCATCCTGCCTGGCCCAGCTGTCTTTCCTCCTCTCTGCCTTTATTCTTGAAGAAAATCCAAGCACAAAAGAACCTAAGAGAACCAGTGTAGTATTGTGTTACTACTTATGCGCCAGCCACCATGCAAAATCTTGGCCAGACCACCTGGAAAGTTCACTTGCCTCAACTACACTGGCCAAAGTCGCCTCAGACCAACTACCTGACCTTGAGCACAGCTCCCAAACTCTGTACATGACAGTTTCTTCATCAATAAAATGAGGCAATTAGACCCAAGTCCCTTATGTCAGTACTTATACTTTCTATGGTGAAGGATCAAGGGCTCGGACCTCAAGTCCCCTTTGTAAACTAAGTGTCATTCCACTGGTACCAAAGAGTTGTTCTCTTAATTTGGATGGAAGAGGTTTTGTGGTGGGTTTGCTGGTGTGTGCCTTGGGGAGCCTTGTTCCCCTTCATTCTTGCCCAAACCTTTCAGTGAGAGAAGAGATAAGGGCTTCTGCATATATAACATAGAACAACAGTTCCCCTTTCGGGCAAGGTGTGCGGCTTGGAGCCCAGCACTATAATCCATTACTTACCAGATAATGTGATCTTGACTAGGAGCAGTTGTTTGACTAGGAGAGCTTGCTCTGTTCAGATTAATCCAACCAGTGGGCACATTTCCCCTGTGGGTGGACTCCTCTCTCCCTCTCCCATGACTGGCTCTCACAGAGTGTACTCCTTGAAAATGGATGTCCAGCTGTTTAAACAGCTGCCTGCCAGCCCTTTTGAATCATAACCTCATCATTTTTCTTAGACCCCAAAATGTGCCTTCCAAGTAGTCAGAAGCTTACCTTTCTTTGACTGTTGGCTTTGAAACCCTGAACATCTGGTAGTTCTAACGTCAGGTTCAACAAGCACACATGAGTGTCTGCTATGTTCCACACATTTGCCAGGCAATTTACGATGTCTTGGGTCTATTCTTCACAATATATGATATTAGCAGTTATGCCCTCAGATGAGGAAACTGAGGCCTGGCAAAGCTAAGTAACTCGCTCTTGGCTAATAGAGGGGAAAAGTTTGAAGAGCCTTTTAGCAAAGCATCAGAAATTTTCAGCCTTGTTATCTCCTCTTTTCCTCTTTCTAGGATTGCATCAGAATGGAGTCATTAAAAACCAGTTTGTGCCATATTCCCATGCTGCTGGAAACCAGAGGTCAAATCAGAAGAGCCTGTACACGTCCATGGCACGCCCGCCTTTGCCACAGCAGCAGTCCATCGGCTCGGACCGAGTGTCACAGGCGCTGGAGAGCTTGGATTTCCTCAAGGTCCCAGACCAGGGTGCTGCCGGGTAAGAGTGCCAGCTCCTGTGAGTGACCCCTGTGGCCTCCGTCTCCATCAGTCACACCAGGGTTCAGGAACGTAGGGCGTCGTCTGTGTGATTCTGAAGCTCAGTTTTGCACCCACGTGTGGTCACCCAGCCTCATCCAGCCCCAGGGCTGTGAGGCTCTGGGTTGGCATCTCGAAAAGTACAGCCAAGTTGATGTCAAAGGCCTTATCCTGGAAACATTAGAAAAGGGGTTCCCTTCCACCCTGAGATTGAATCACTCTGTGACCTGTTTTGCTCTCTGGGATGGTTGAGGAATAACGGGGGTGTTGATTTATGTCTCTGCTAAAGGTGCATAAACACAATGGCTCAAAGAGTCATTAGAAACATAAGGAATACCATCCCAGCCTTCTATGAGGTGTAGATGTTTGTTTATGAATACGGACTGTCAAGGATTTAAAATAAGAGCCTGTCTACCTTTCTAGAACAGAAGAGGGGAGGAAAGAAACCAGCTTTTTAATTGAAAGAAGTAAAGATTCATGGAACTCTGCAGATAGAATTATCAGTGGGGGAAAAAGGAGTTGGCTGTGTCCTGTGGAGTCACCTGGCGTGTAACTAGGGCCAGCTTCAAGACAAGGGAGTGAATTCTGCCAGGAAGTAGATTTTGGCACTGATAAACAAAAAAGCATTCCAGTAGCCTAAAGATGAACTGCCCTAGGATGTAAGGAGGACCTTGTCCCTGGAAGTATTTAGTCATGGGGCAGATGGAAACCACAGACAGGAGTATTGTAGACTGACGTCATATGCCAGAGAAGGGTAAGAATCCTGTCTCAGCCCCTGTTAACTAATAGTGTTAGTTAGTTAGGACCTGCTTCTTACCTCTCTGGGCTACATTTTGCTTATCCGTACACTGGTGTAATACCACCAAACTTGCAGGGCTGCCGGGAGGACTAGAGAGGATTTAAATAAAACATCTACTGTGGTTCCAGGCACGTAGCTGGCTGCTTGGTCAGCTGTAGCTTGATGATGAAGATGTGGTGACGGTGATGGTGGTGATGAAGCAATTTTTGGCTCATGGTGGCCAAACTAGCGACTTTTTAAATTTTTTTTTAATTGGAGGATAATTGCTTTACAGTGTTGTGTTGGTTTCTGCTGGACAACAACGTGAATCAGCCATGTGTATACATGTATCTCCTCCCCCTTGAGCCTCTGTCCCCTCACCCCCATCCCACCCCTCCAGGTCACCACAGGGCACTAGGCTCTGCTCCCTGTTCTGTACGGCCGCTTCCCTCTAGCTGTCTGTTTCCCACATGGTAGCATATGTAGGTCAGTCCTACTCTCCCAACTCTTCCCAGTCTCTCCTTCCCCTGCTGTGTCCACAGGTTTTCTGTTTTCCACATCTGCATTTCTATTCCTGCCCTGCAAATAGGTTCATCGGTACCATTTTTCTAGATCCCATATGTATATGCATTAATAACCAAAGTTTGTTTTTCTCTTTCTGACTTAACTTCACTCTGTATATCAAGCTCTGGGTTCATCCACCCCACTACAACTCAAACGTGTTCTTTTTATGGCTGAGTAGCATTCCACTGTATATATGTACCACAGCTTCTTTATCTGTTTATCTGTTGATGTGACAAGACTGAGCGACTTCACTTTCACCTTTCACTTTTATGCATTGGAGAAGGAAATGGCAACCCACTCCAGTGTTCTTGCCTGGAGAATCCCAGGGGTGGGGATTCAGCTGGACACGACTGAAGTGACTTAGCAGCAGTGGCTTTTAAGGAATCTCTGACTCTTGGCAAGAATCTCTGACATGATTCTCAGTGGTGGAATAGTTCTCTCTGCTGAACCCCTTAACGGGGCTGCTGCAGCCCACTCTTCCCTCCCTCTTGCCCACCTCCATTATCTAGTCTCTCGTGTCTGTAGAATAATAAAGAGCTTTTGAATGTGATCAGGAGACTCGTGTACCAACTAGAGCTGTGCTGGGTGAGAAGCGACAGCTCCTTCCTTTGAGCGGGGAGCCACCCATTCCCTTGAGGCCTTACCAGAGGCAACAGACTCTTAGGAACTTTCCCAGATCTCACCAGGTTCTCTCCTCACGTTCCTTTTCCCCTGACAAGTCTTCCCTTATTTGGGCTTCAGAGAGGAAAGCACTTTGGCTTTAAATATTTACTTATTTAGCTGTGCTGGCTCTTAATTATGGCATGCAAGGTCTTAGTTGTGTCGTGTGGGACCTGGTTCCCTGAGCAGGGATCAAACCCGAGCCCCCTGCATTGGTAGCTTGGGGTCTTAGCCACTGGACCACCAGGGAAGTCCCAACACCTCAGTTTCATACAAATGGCCATCAGGAGAGTGGCCGCCATGTTCCATTGCATCTCTCTGCCTGCTCCCACCACTCCTGCATATGTAGCTCTGTCCCACCCGTTCTCATGGTCATAGTTTGCCTGATTGGCTTGGCCTGAAGAGGTGGTTCTCACACTTTAATGTGCTCCAGAATCACCTGGAGAACTCACTGGCCCACTTCCAGCGTTTCTGACTCAGTAGGACCGGGACGGGGCCCAAGGATTTACATTTCTAGCAAGTTTTGAGTTGGTGATGCTGCTGATCCAGGGACCACATTTTGAAAACCACTTTTATCAAATCATTCTGATAAAAACAGGGAAGCTTCTGTGTAAAGGTGAATTGAGGGGTGCTGTTGCAGCAACAGGATTCTTAGTCCATAATCCAAGACCTACACTACTCAGACGGATGAAACTAAAATAATCAAACAAGCCTTCCTGGGCCCAGTTTGAGTTCCCAAAGTAGGCAGGGGATTAAAACCAGTCAGCAAAATGCACCAAATCTCTTAGCTCTGTCTGCTAGCTTCCTACTTGCTTTAGTTTTGGCAAGCAAAACCATCTTTCCAGGCTGCTTTGCAAGTTGCAGACTTGCACAGCAGCCAGCTGGGAGCATCTGTCAGCCAAAATGCAGGCAATTTAGGAACATTGTGTCTTAACCGAGGCTGCTCCCTTCCAGCCCGCAGCTGTGCTGTTCCCTAGTTAAGTCTTATCACACCTTTGCCACCTTTAAGCTTAGAGATCAGGCATACGGGATGCTATTTTGGCAGTGGCTGTGAGGCTGGAAGGAGGGAACCTTCACTCCTGTCTACTAGACAGTGAGATTTTCCTCTGTATAAAACTTGTGTATAAAACTCACATGAGGTGCACTGAGTCCTATAGCTATAACATCTCAGCCAGCCTCCCCCTTGTACACTTAAACCTGCAGTGATGCAGATTCTTCCTTAAGAAGTCATACCCTGATCAAACAGCTGAGCTTTTGCTTAGTATTTATTTTCTAAAACACATCAAGTCAAAGCTAAAATAATTTCTAATGTGGCCAAAGACCTTAGGCAAGCATTTCAGGGCCCTTGTGATTACCTGCATTTAACAGGTCTTCATTGCCAAAAAACCATCAGTTGTGTTTCCCGTGGGAGGTTGTTAAGCAAACAGGGAACTGTGGGATCCCTAGCTGGTTCCTTCCCACAAAGACAGAAGTTCCTGTTTACATCACTGCCCCAAATGATGCCCTTGGATTTACCAACCTATAAAAGGAAGGTTACCTCTAGGTCTCCTTGGACTTTCAACTCTTAGGGTCATCTTTCCTTTCACTCCCCCACCCCCAATGCACTTTAAAATTTTATTTATTTGGTTGCACTGGGTCTTGCTTGTGGCAAGAGGGATCCTCAGATCTTCATTGCAGCTTGTAGAATATAGTTCCCTGACAGGGATCAAACCTGGGCCTCCTGCATTAATAGAATGGAGTCACTGGACCACCGGGGAAGCCCCAAAGCGCTTTTCTATATAGACATATTTAATATAGGCAGTCATTTCTTTTGGATCATGTAATGTGGATAAAATCAAATGGTGTAATTAGCACCTCAAGTTAATTCAAGTCTTTGTCAGTTTGTTTTGGGTTCAGTCAGTTGGGTTCTGGGTTTTTTGGTATTTGCTTTTGGAGAGAGCATGAAGCCTGCACGGAGTTACCACCCCAAGTGGATTCTTTATCCTTGCCATGACATGTTTGCTCTTGTCTTTGTCATAATCATTATTCAAGAAAACTGAGACACAGAAGGAATTACAGTCTTAGAGTCCCTTATGTACCTTTTCAACAGTCTGATTCAGGTTCAAGATCTGTCCCGATTCTCAGGAAAAGAGGACAGGTAACACAAGAATCATAAACATTTCATTCACCAGGCTCTGCTCTGGCTCCATAGGAACACTTGATTTACCAATCAAATGTGCCCTATATTTTCCCTCCTGTAACTGAGATGTACATGATCCACCTCCAGTTCATTACTGAAGCATTAAAACCCAGACTGGAATTTTTTTTTTTTTTCCTGTTGGCCTTTTTAATCCTGTGGTCCATTTCAGGGGAGGACTATTTCAGGAAATTTCATGATACTCCAGAGATGAATCCAACTGGAAGTTGGAGAAACAGAAAAATATTGAAAGTGCTCAGTGGTTGGGCTTCTGGCCATGCCACAAAAGAGAGATCGATCGAAAAATGTAAATGCTGCCTGGGTGTCTCCTGACAAGATTCTCCTAATGGAGTCATATTTTTCAAGGGGCTTAAAATTTCCAACAAGTGTCCAATAGCAATATTTCTTAACCCATAATCTGCAGGAGCAGCAGCCATATCCTGGCCCAGGCAGACACGAAGCCTAGGAATTTCTGGCATCCATTCCCACATTTCCAGTAATGTTTATAGATTCAACCTTTTGGAACAGAGCATATTTTAAAGAGCCAATGAAATAAAATGCCATTATTTTCCTTCTTGGAATTTCAGGACATAAATTTCACATCTGCAGAACAAAGACATGATATTTGAAAGCTTAATCCCAGCTTTCACTGGCATAGTGACATAGGCACACCCGGGTGCCCCAGAGGTCTGGCGGCTGCAGGGAAGTTCACAGAATGTGGCCTGGCCATTTGCAGGGCACCCAGTTTCACAGTTGCCAGGACCGGGTGTGAGTCCTGGGTCAC